ACAGTGCCGGCTGGCGACCCCCAGGGGGAGGGCCTTCTCTGTTGGAGCTCCCACCCTTTGGAACGAGCTACCCCCAGAGATCCGGGTGATTCCGGATCTCCCCTCCTTCCGCCGCGCCCTCAAGACATGGCTATTCAAGTTAGCAGGACTGGCCTAAGGGTTATTTTAATTTGGTTTTAAAATAATTAAAAAAAAAAAAAATTCGAATTTTCGGTCTTAGAATAATGTTTCATTTTAATTAACATGTTAAGTTTGGTATTTTTGTATTTATGTATTTGTTTTTGAATGGTTGTAAGCCGCCCTGAATCCGCAGGGAGAAGGGCGGGGTAGAAATATAATAAATAAATAAATAAATAATAAATAAAGGTAACACAAAAAAACTGGAATTTTATCAGAACTGAAGAAGCTTCTTGGATGAGAAGTGAAATGTTTTCAAAGAAAACAAAACCCCAAGAAAATCCAGTTGCCTTTTCCAACACAACCATGACCTGGATAATTGAGAATCTCCATAGAGTTTTATCAAAGTTCTTTGTACTATGGAACTACCATAAATGAAAGTAAATATACATGTCCCAGGATAATGTTGCAGGATCCAATCTGGGTTTGGTCACCGGGACTAGAGATTTAGTCTTCTAAGCTTTCAAACTCGTGCTGGAGCCCCATCCTCAGCGAACTTCTCACACCCCAGATGTAGAACTATCATTCTGGCTACGAGTTTATTGTTATATGAAATGACTGATTTAATTCTTGGATTTCAAATTTTTTGTCTACAAAGTAGCTTTCTTACTGTTTCTTCTTTTTTAATAAATCCTGAAAATATCTGTTTCATTGATGATCTTTGCGCAATAGACCAAAGCACAAGGAGTCCAACTACCTTTGACATGCCAGTTTAGTTAATGGTTAGTGTATGGTGCAGTGTATTATGTGATCAGAGAAAATTGGGTTAACCAAATAAATTATATTTCTCTCAAGCATGGTGATGTTTTTATATATTGTTTGGTGTTGAATCAAGGAGTCATCCGATACTGTACCCTCCGAACTGGAAAAGTTAGAACATTTGAACTGAGTGTTCTTTTATCCTGTATCTCATTTTCTTCTTTTATCTGTGCACACTAGAAATCGTAACTTGTTAGGGCAATAGGCCTTAAATATTTAGTCTTCTCCCAATGTGTTACATCAATGTTTTTCAACTTCAGCAACTTTACAATGTGTGGACTTCAACTACCAGAATTTCCAGCCAGCTGGGAATTGAAATCTACAAATCTTAAAAGTTACTGAGGTTGAGAAACACTGTATCAGATTATGACCTTTTATCTCCAACTATACAAGCTGCTCGGTAATTATGGGGATTATATCAAATACGTCTGGAATGGACCCAGAATAGGGAAGGGTGAGTTTAAGAATAACAGTCTCCTTCTAATCCAGACCAATACAGGTCTATAGCAGGATTGGGCAACTATGGCCCCTTTGTGACCTATGCCCTTCAACTTTCAGAATTGTTGAGCCAGCCATGCTGGCTAAGGAATTCTGGAACTTGAAGTCCACAGGTCATAAAGGTGCCTGTTCTATAGAGAAACAATAACCTGACCAATGTTCAGTGATGTTGGCAAGTTCTAGAATTTTTGTTAAATCAACTGTTGGCTGAAAGGAACTGATTAGAATTTGGTAGAGAAGGTGGAGAGCTAGCAGGTTGGTCACTGAATCCAGATGCGAGAATAACTCAAGTTATTGAGAAGCGATTGGATGGCAGAACAGTTTGAGTAGGATTTTGGGAGGAGACAGAGAATTCTATTTAAGCTCAGTTTTACCAATCGGATACAAGAATTATTGTGGGAAAAAAGATGATGGAAGAATATTTTTTGGGGAGGATGTATAAACAAGCAGGGGGCTGGGGAACGTTTCTTCTCTGATCTTTCCTCTTGTTTCTTGCCTTTTATGCAGGTCTAGCTCAGGCAGCTGCAGAACAGCGAACTAGGCAAAGATGCTGCTGCTGATAGTTTTTTGTGGGGTATGGGGAATGACATCTCTGAAGCAGGGGGGTACAGCTTCTGCTACCTTCCTCCCCTCCAGCATGGATAGACTGTTCCAGAAGTTTAGCAACCTCTTTGAGCAAAGTCGGGTAAGGAGCAAAAGAAGAATGGTCCAATTCCTTCTGTGAACAAGTGGAAAGGAAGTTCTACTGTTGTGCAATTTTATCAGATACTTTCTAAGAAGCTTTGATGTTTTAAACTAAAGTACTACTGTTTAGTATCCTTTTAGAAAAGGCAGACTCCTCACAATAAATGGACAACGTTCTTGGCAGCTCTGAAGAGAATCTATTTTACATTCAAGCTGATGTAATAATTGTATGCAAATGTTTTGTCTATGTACTGAAGTTTACACATTTGAGCAAAATTTTGGCAAGTCCATTCTTGGAAATATTTTTGAGGCATAGGATTTCTTTGTGCACTTTTTAACTTTCATTGGCTTTAAGTAAAACTTGTTTCTCTCTATATTGTACATAAGGATCATTCTTTGCCATTTGTAGGAGGTGCTGGGGAAAGACCAATTTGATACTCCAGTTGACATTAGTAAGCTCCCCCCCAACTACCACCATGAGGAGAATAAGCAGCAGAGAGTGGGAAATTCCACTTTTTTCAGACACTATGAAATCAGTAAAGTGAGTAAGCTATAGAAAATAGGAAAGAAACATATACCTTATTTAAACATTTAAGAATCTTGGATAGCTATATTCACTTTGACACATTGATGGATGTATGCAATATGGAGCCTTAACAAATTCTGAGAGATTTATTTTTCAATGTCTTAAAGTTTAATTCTACTGGATTTTGATGAAGTCAGCTGTTAAGTTTGTATGTATTTGAAGTATTTATAACCTGTTGTCTTACTTAGAAGCTGTTAATTTTTTTGAAGTTTTATTAGTATTTATAATCATTATCTCCGTAGGGTATATATATGATCAGATGTTAGGAGATACAAATATTTATATAGCTAAATGAAATTTTGGTTCTAACACAGCTATGAATCCATCTATTTATTCTCTTTCCTCCACAGCTTCTTTATTACTCTATTAAGAACTGGTTTATGTAGTAAGCAGATTAAAGTGGTTGGGCAAACTGTACCACCAGAGTGATAGAAGTGGGATACATTTGTGCTCCCAATTTTTAAAAAAACTGTCTGCAGATAGGAAAAAAAGCAATAAGGAGGATAATTCTGATTTGGCTCACTGCGTTAGGAATATTCAGCAAAATTCAATAAAGCAAATCCCAAACTGTGCTGATTGAAATGACACAATCGATTTTATCCCTTTGGCCATTTTTAACCTTATTCTGTTACAGGTATAAAGAAAGTGCAATGCCAGCATTCTTTGGTAGTAGCTATAGTCTCAATGTCCTGCCAGCTACCTGAACTCCCCTTACACATTTGAGATTGCCATCATTCTTTGAGATTGCAATTAGCGCTGCAATTTACCATTTTCATTTCAGCAATGTCCCAAGGAAATTTGCATCAAGAGCATTATGGGAAATCATAAACATGGCTCTGAAACCTCTCTAATGCCCAGTGTGATTTCCAAGTAGTCCTGTATCCAGCAGTGCTCTAACAGGGAGTTCCAGGGAGACAAACTGCCACAGTCCTTGCCCAAGCTTGAGGCCAGCCATGGCAGGGACCTAACTTAAATGTTCTGAAAAGTTGTACTGCTTCTTTGCTGTGGCTCTCTATATAGCCCGGAGCATGTTTGAATGTACATTTCCTTAATGGTCTGCTATCTGTCTAGTTCAGACATGTCAAACACAAGGCCCGGGGGCTGGATGCGGCCCGCGAAGTGGTTTCATGTGGCCATCCTGAAAACAATGAGGGAACGGCCCCCGCTGCCTTGGCCCTGGCCCAGGCCAGCCGGGAGCCAATGTACAATTTTGTGGTGGTCATCTTGGCACTTGCCCTGGTGGACCATGCCTTGGCACTTGCCCCGGTCCCACTTTCTGCCAGAGACCCTCAGATCTGTCCCACTCCTGCCCAGGCCCCCACAGGCACCCTTGACGCGGATGATGTAGAACTGGCCACGCCCACCCAGTAGGCCACACCCACCCAGTAGGCTGCACCCACTCTGGCCACATCCACCTGGCCCCCCAAAGGCAACCGCAATGCTGATGCGGCCCTCAGTGAAATTGAGTTTGACATCCCTGGTCTAGTTTGACACCATCAAATTCTAAGGAAATCATATTGATGGAATGGGTACTTTCTTGTGCATCGGAGAGGACTGCATGGAAATTCTGATCAAAAGAGCCCATAGCCATGCAGTACCTTAGCTATTAAGATTTTTGAACCTGTATCCTTCCTCTTTGCCAATCCTATTCAATCCTATATTGTTCTTGTAGATGACTGATAACCATACAGGTGATATGATGTTTTCAGAGAAATCTTTGACCTCTGTTGAGCAAAAAGAGATTTATCCAAAGGAAGAGGTCAGTATGCAAAATACAAGCATATTTGCTTACCTTTACCTGCCAGATTTAGGCTGCTTATATATGTACTGTACATGTTTGTGTGTGAGAGGAAAAGAATGTGTGGAAGAGACAGGTAGTGTTATGTTAGAGGTAAGTAATATGTGGTCCTTGAGTCCTCTCTCTGCAATCTTTGGAGTCCTTTCTGACTATAACTGCTGAAAACAGATACGTTTCCTGTCATTCTAAGATGAAAAAACTATAAAAACTGTGGTGCAAATCTTGAAATTGGCATTATTTCATTAAAAAAAATCTCTCAAACCTTCATCCAACCGCTTTCCCTGCCTGTGTGAGTTATGTAATCTTGGTTACTTTTTCATCCTCAGCCTGCTTGCCCCAAAAGTATAGTAGGCATGACCATGTAAAGATCGGATACTTTACTGCTAGATTCTAAAATGGGTGGTGCCAGGTGTGCCAGTCAAATGAGCAGGCTTGTTATCTTTTCTAAATGACCATATTCAGTTGCAGCCTTACAGAGAACAGTGTTCCTCACAATGCTTGCCTGCCGTGTTTCCTGAAAATAAGACCTATCCTGAAAATACGCCCAATCCTGATTTTTTGGGGTGGGCCTAACATAAGCCCTACCAAAAATAAGCCTGGGGGTTTGCATGGTCAGCACAAGCGGCAGTAAGCGTGCGGGAGCCAATGGTGTCCAGCAGCAGCCACAGCCTGCCAGCCCCTTGGCACAGAGCAGGTAACTCTGCACACGGAGATGGGGGGAAGTGTTTGGGTGCCTATGGGGCGCTTGGGAACGAAGCAATTTGTTCATAACCAAGCGCCCCATAGGCGCCCAAACACTTCCCCCCTGAATGGAGATCTGACGGAAACTGGAAGCTCCATCTGCTTGTGAATGGGGCACTTGGAGACGGAGCAATCTCTGTTTGGGGGAAAGGTGTTTGGGCGCCTATGGGGCGCTTGGGACAGAAGCCTATTGAGCGCTTGGGAACGAAGCTAATTGCTCCGTCTCCAAGCGCCCCATTCGTAAGCAGATGGAGCTTCCAGTCTACCTCAGATCTCCATTCAGGGGGAAAGTGTTCGGGTGCCTATGGAGCACTAGGGGCAGCTACACCCTCTCCCCCGCCTGCCTCGCCTCGTGGTGGTGGCACAGTGTGGCAGGCCACACAGCCTCCTGCTGGATGGGCTTGTTGGTGCCGCCGCAAGACAAAGCAGGTGTTGGGAAAAAACATCCCTGAAAATAAGATCTACTGCCTCTTTTGGAGGCAAAAAAATATAAGACTGGGTCTTATTTTCAGGAAAACATGGTACATGCTTTAACAAATGTTGTAGAGAACATATTACATGTGAGCTCTGCTCTAAAGGACTGAGGAAGGCAGTGGGGGAAAAACCCTGCCAGAACAATGAAGTGGGCATTGTGATGTCATGAATCAAGTTTCACCATTTAATACATGTGCTTTATTGCATGCAAGAATGTCGGGGCCACAGTTTATATGCTTGTTTTATTATTTGTCCACCTTGTCTATTATGAGAGTTAAAGAAATTAATAAAGTGCTGTCATTTTTAATACACCAAGTACCTCTTTTAATGAAGTACAAACATTTCATTAAAATTGAACCAGACTCCTAACTGGTTAGATATGAGATAGAATAAGGTATAGGAAACTTGACTGATTATTCCTGACTTGTTCTAGGACATTGTTAGTCTTCTTTCACTAGGAACCCGACAGCAAGCTACTATATGATTTCCCAGTGAGAAAATCCACAAATTAACATACATGGATATGTTTTGGGTTTTTATTCTCATGTCTGATAGCAGGCAATGCAATACCTCTTAAAAACTTTTAAGCAAGGACCAAAGGCAATAATTTCTTTGTTCTCTGACCCTTTCCCAGAATTTGATACTAAAGCACAGCATTAGTGAAGATGATTTATTCAACGATTAAATGTAATAGCATTTGTTAAACCTATAACCATCTGTTCAACCCATTTTCATAATCAGAACTCAAGAGTCCCTTCCTTTTAGCTCCTAATTTTTTATTAGATTCATATTTCCCTATCCTAGAGTTAAGAGGACCAAAGAATTTGGATTCCAAAATCATCCCTACTCTTGATATACATTCTCTAATCATATAGATTTAACAAATTCACACAGATCCTCAGGGCTACCCTTCTCTAGGATCTTCCAGAGGAGTTGGACTATATGTTCTGGCACTTCTAGGCAATATAACTATTTTGTATCCTTATAGATGAACATTTGTTTTGGTGGAATATAGGGTGGGGATGATTAGAAATGTAGGGATTTCAGAAGACACTAATACTCCTGGTCCCTCATTTTTATTGCTTTTTTATATCCATCTTTCTAGGACAATAAGTCAATGTCTAATGAAGAAGAAAACAGTGCTGAGCCAGAGAGAACAACTGCTGGGCTTAAGATCTTCAAATTAGGTTTCCCTCAGCTTCGGCCAAAGCTAACTTTTTTTATTTTTCGCTTGCCCCAGCATCTTAAGAGCCAGCAGATGCCTGAAGCCAAACTGGTAAAGGAAGAGCCAATCAGTGATAAGAGGCACAGATTGCTGGCCATTCGGAATGGGCTTTTAGCAGCCCCTCATCCAATTAAGAAGACCCTTCCTGTGACCCCAAACCACAAGGTCATTCCACGAAAGCGTCATTTCCTTTTTTTCTGGAGGAAGATATAAGGCATTAGGAACATATAAGGCATTGGGAAAATTTATCACCTGGGCCAGTGCAGTGGAAAATGTTCTAGCTTCCCAAATATTTCTATTGTCACATCAAAAGTTTAAAGTGAGGTTAGTCCTACAAAAGGGGGAAATATTTCCTTCAAAAATTCAAAATAAAAGTTATCCTTTTGAAAAAGCCCTCAAAGATGAAATAATGTATTTTTTTAAAAATATCATGATGATGATGATGTTGTGTCCAGCTCTTGGGCAATTCTATGGGCCAGGTCTTTCCACATCTTGAGTTCTTCTATGTTCTGGCAGGCGCCAGCTTCAATGGTGGCCAGCCACCATGTTCTTTGATAGCCTGGTTTCCTTTTACCGCTAACTCTTCCAAACATCCTCATGGTAACTGCATGAATCTCTGGGGGTACATTGTATTCCAGATGACAGGCATTGCAACTAAGTAGACACACCACTTAAGATCAATCAATCAATCAGAATAGATGACACCATTTGAGGGATAAAATCTGCAGCACACCTACAGTATCCTCCTTGATCACATCAAACAGACCATAGAAATATACGATCCCTTAGATAGCCAGGCCCTATACCATACAGTACTTTAAAATTGAAAATCAGCAACTTTAACTGCACCGAGAAATCAACTGGTAATCAGAGCAGATTGTGAAGCAATACAGGTAGGGTCACAAGTTCATGTGCTGCTCCTACCATTACTTGTGCTGTTGCATTCTAGACCAGTTGTAGCTTCTGGACAGTCTTCAAGGGCAGTTCCATTGCAGTAATGCAATTGTGAAGTGGCCAGGCCATGACTGACTGTTTGAAGAGCCTCACAACTCAGAAAAAGGTGCAAATGTATCTGTGCAAAGCCCTCTTGGCCACAAGTGCCACCTGATTTTTGAATAGGAACTGAGAGTCCAAAGGACCCCAATATTGTGCCCTATGGGACACAATCATATGGAAAAGTACCATCCCATTGAGACTTAAAAATGGAATTGTATTCCTAGAACTGATATGTTTGTGTGTGTATGTGGGGGGGGGGGGGAGAGACAACCACATAGCCTTTCCAATATTGAGCCTGAACCTGTTCCTCCCATCCAGACCCACTTAGCTTCCACATATAGAGCTACGACTTCAACAGCACTGCCTAGAATGGTACAGGATTAAGACTTAGAACTAGATATAATCTGCTTACTGATGATACTGGATCTCAAAACAATGGATGACCTCATCTGGAAAATTCTTTGTAGATGTTAAACACAGTGCTTTTTTCTAAAAAAAAAAAAAAAAAAAGGTGCCGGAACTCACACACGTCATACAACCCACCTTGCCTACCCTACAAGGTTCCATCCAAAAAAGGTGCCGGAACTACGTTCTGGGCGTTCTATGAGAAAAAAAGCCCTGGTTAAACAGAAGGGGAGAAAACATTGTATTCTGCAGTACTGCCCAAATGGCGGGCGGGCTATGGGCTCGCTCTCTCCACCCACCATCACTGATTAGAATTGGCAACAGAGAAAGGAGAACCACTGTAAAATAGGGTTTCCCAACCTCAACCCTCAAAGTCAGTCCAACACGATACCATGAAAGCCAGAGAGATCAAGGAGCACAAGGTGAGATGCAGTACCTCTTCCTAATTTCACAGATTATCAGCTAGCATGACCAATGCGGATAATTATATTTTCCTTCATTTTTTGGTAGCTGAAATAGTGATTACTATTACTACTTTAGGATATGTGTTAAATATCACTTTGAGATAATAGTCTATATAGTTAGTGTGCTTCTAAATTAAGACCTCCTAGGTAATGTTACTGAAATCATGTATGTCTTGATGAAGGGGGAAGTCCTTTCTTTATACATATCTTTTCTTTTTTCATTGTTTTTCTCTGCATTCTTTTCATACTAATTAGTTTGCATTGGGTTTTGTTTGCATTTCCAAACTTTAATAAAATTATTTTAAAATACCATCAAGATCTCCTGATAAAAATGGTTTATTCTGAACTACTACACAGACTGAGTGCTTATCTGCACAGCATGAGTATGGCCCACTCTTTTTCAAGGACAGGAATGCACAGCGTGTCCTCTATCTACCCTGAGAATGCAACTTTCACCCATCTTTTTCTGCTATGCATCAGGAATGTTTTTCAACCTGTTCCAAAATAGCAGAGCAGATTTGCGCTTCATTTCATTGTACTCAAAGACCTCAATTCCATGGCTCCTCCAATTCCTGATTTCCTGTATTTCTTTCAATCTGAATTTCTGGTGAATGTGTATATGTGTTTTCATCTTCTGAAGAAACCTTGATTGACGAATCCCTTTTTTACCCTTTCAGTTCATCCGTTGATCGCTTTTTAAAAATAAATTAATTAGTAAAATATTGAAAGACCAATCTCATTTCCACTCTTCTTCAGTGATGGAATAGTGAAAATATCAACAGAAGAAAATATTTGTAGCTCAAGATTGAACTGTGGAAATGCTCTCTGAGCTTAGTGGTTCCAGGACATGTTTCATTACCAAACTAGGTAACATCAGTGCTAGAAGTCTAATCATCTAGCACTGATGATGTTACCTATTTTGGTAATAAAATGTCTGCAAGAAAACCACCAAATTCAGAGCATCAAGGACCCCACAATAGTAAAAAGTGAAAGGCTGGACTTTCTTTCCTTCTCCAGTAAATTTTGCAAGAATTTTGCCAGTTTTGCCTTAGAGCTCTTCCTTCCCTGGGGCCTTTCTTGGGCTCTTCCCCAAATAACAAGAAGAATGATAAAACTGCTTTTCTTTTTATTGGTCTAAAAGTGGATGTCTAAATAGGAAGATACCTAGTATGAAGGATAATCAGCACAGGGGACTAATACAAAAGTTATATCAATGGGACCCATATGACTGAAAATTCTGCCCATGCAAAGGTGGGAAAAATTTTAAAAATTCAGGAGAATCAACAAACCAGTGCTGTTTTAAGACTGTCTGGACAAAATTCCAGGCCATCACTCGTGAATGGGATTTCTTAAGCAAGCTTTATTCCTGGCTTTTTTACACATAGTATATAGACTTCTCACTGGAGAAGGGCCTAATACTGGGAAAGATTGAGGGCAACAGAAGAACGGGACGACAGAGAATGAGATGGCTGGATGGAGTCACTGAAGCAGAAGCTGTGAGCTTAAATGGACTCCAGAAGATGACAGGAAGGCCTGGAGGAACGTTGTCCATGGGGTCACGATGGGTCGGACACGACTTTGCAATTAACAACAATATAGACTATGTAATACTGCAGTGCAGAAAAGCATTAGGTGACAGTAAAATCTGCTAGCTGACCCATTAACCCCATTTCTGGATCTAAAAATATTGTCCGGAAATTCTATCATGATTCCAAACAATAAAGTGCTGCCCTTTACAAACCGCAATTTTACTATAGTATTAGTGCTACTTATTGCTGAAGGAAATAGCAACTAGAGTATGATTTAGAGGCACATTCTTTCTACAATTCAAATATAACGTATAAAGTAATTGATAATCCACTTTTATCCCACAATATTGATCAAAACAAGAATGGGGGATGGCTATGACAAGAACAGGCCCTTCGTATAGGTAGTCTTCAACGTACGACCACAATTGAGTCCAAAATTTATGTTAAGTGAGAAATTTGTTAAGTGAGTTTTGCCCCTTTTATGACTTTTCTAGCCACATTTGTTAAATGAATCATTGCAGCTCTTAAATTAGTAACACGGTTGTTAAGTGAATCTGGCTTCCCCATTGACTTTGCTTATCAGGTCACAAAAGGAGATCACACGATTGACTCCAGGACACTGCAAGTGTCATAAAAGTGGGTCAGTTGTCCAGCATCCAAATGTAAATCACGTGACTATGGGGATGCTGCAACGGTCGTAAGTGTGAAAACTGGTCATAAGTCACATTTCTCGATATCCTTGTAACTTTGAACAGTCACTAAATAAACTGTTGTAAGTCGAGGACTACCTGTACTGAAAAAAGACAGCTAATCCCAATAAACCATTTTTCTAGAAACTCAAACAACTGTACTTTAAAATAGGGCATTACTTGATCCTGCCTTATACTTATGCTTACATCACCAAGTGAACTATTGGACCCCCCCGCCTCGAGCGGATTAGGGTCTCGCATTTTCCAGACGCTGAGGGAGCAGCATCCGCCATTATCTTTCCTTTGGGGTTTTCCCGCCTTTTTTTCCCAAGCGCCCGGAAGAAGGCGCGCGCCCCAGCCTCCATCTCGGCTCGCGCCTTGGATGAGGAATTGTTCTTCCCTTTTCTCCCCTCTCCCCCCCATTTCCTTCTCTGAGGGAAGAAACTTCTTTCCGTCATCATCGTTCTTTACTTTTCGCCGGGCGGAGAAACGCCTTTCTCACCGTGAACTCCTCCCTCTTGCTGTAATATCAGGGGTCCTCAACCTTGGTAACTTTAAGACTTGTGGACTTCAACTCCCAGAATTCTGGGAGTTGAAGTCCACAAGTCTTAAAGTTGCCAAGATTGAGGACCCCTGCTGTAATTAATCCTTCCACGCCGTGAGCAAAAAGCCTTTCTAGGGTGGTAGCGTTTCAAGGACTGCAGTACTCGGTGGCTTGGCAGTTCCAGGGTTTCCCTGTTCAGTCGATTTAACGCGGGCAGATTGCTACCGGTAATAACGTTGCAAATTGTTTGTCAGACAAACCAGGCTGCTTTCTTAACTGTTCCCAACCGAACCTTAATAGTAATCTACTAATGCAACATGTGGTTCATAGCTATTAGCCCTTAAACAGTGCCTTGTGAGCTATAATCTTTATTTATATAAGACCTCATTGACTTGAGGACTGCTTTAAATTTCCCTGTCTTCCTAAACGAACAGCATTCTAAAAGAATGATTACATACTACCATTTCCTTTAAAAAAAGGGGGGGGTCTCAAATGTCCTAGAATCTGCCATGTATAGTGGGTTGGATTAATTGATCGATTGATTATATGCCACCTATATTGTCAAATTTTACCAACCACACATGGGTTGGAAATTCCAAATCATTTGGCGAAAAGAAATAATTTGGGCAGATGTCTTCATATGGAGACATTAAATAATTCTAACTTCATATTATTTATTTAAATACGTCTGAAGTTGTGCCTACTTTATCCTGGGAACAGTTTATTCCTTTTCTAATCCCCCTGTGTGTGATGAGAAATAAATAAAGTAATATATTTGTTTCTTGACAGTGTGACACACTGGGAAATCTCTTCCAATTGCATGAAAACATCACAGAGTGTCCTATAAAAGGGAGAAAAGTATTGTTCCTAATTAGGGGGATTTATTAGTACATATTCTAAATACTTCTCCACTTCTAACCATATAAGGCCTAAAACAGACTTGTTGCACAAATGTAATATGATGGTATACTAACCCCTTTTCAAAGCCAACCAAGACATGAATGCTGTAACAACTACCAAAAGCATGAAAGTAAATTCCAAAATATTGATTTTGTAACATTCACATTTTAAATGTTTATCAGGTTTTTGCACAATGAGTATATGGGAAGATTTGACGTAACCCAATTTATAAATGAGTTTTATTTGTGGACATTCCGTTGGATATTTTATTACGTCCACAAAGCCTATTGTGTAATTAGCTAAAGAGGCTTCTTTTTTATAGATTTTAGGACTGTTATGGTTTGTTTGTTACAAGACGATAAAAATGTCAACTTTTTCCTGTGAAGGAACTCTATTGTAGATCCAAGCTTTCGGTGAGGAAGTACTTGTTAGTGATGATGGATCATGCTTATAACAACACTCTTGAGAATAGAGCAGTTGTGCAATTAACTGCAGTTTTGTCAACAGATAGTAAGTATTAGCTATTCCTGAAATTGTTAATATTATAGCAGTTTATATTTATGAACCATTATCCCTTCCTATTTAACTCTATTAAAATTAATGTATATTTTAGTTTTTATGACAAAGTTCTAGATACAACTGGCTGCCAATTTCACTTGAATGAGAAACATTCAGTAAGATACCATTATGGCAGTTGGATGAGATATGCATAGGACAGTGATGGCGAATCTTTTAGAGACCAAGTGCCCAAACTGTAACCCAAAACCCACTTATGTATCCTTGGGTGCCGGATGGGCGTGGCCCATTGGGTGGATGTGGCCCGTTGAGTGGGCGTGGCCCATTGGATGGGCATGGCTTTGGGGGTAATGGCAGACTGGGTGGGACTAAAAAGTTCAATCAATCAATTCCAACTTTGCGAGATCTTTTTTTTGTGAGATCTTTTTTTCCCCGTGAGAAGTTGAAATTGATTGATTGATTGAACCTTTTTTTTTTTTTTGCACACGGCGGTGGAAGCCTAAAGCAAAAAAGGTTTTATAAAACTCAGCTGAAGGCCTAGGACAGGGGCGATGGTGCAGGTGCCCACAGAGAGAGCTCTGCGTGCCACCTCTGGCACCCATGCCATAGGTTCGCCACCACAGGCATAGGATTTATTTGGGTTATGGATATGCAATTTTTGGGAGGTCAGTGACCTCTTGTGACTACATAGAGACTCTAAGCTGATTCCCTGCTTTATTTCCCCCCCTGGCTTTGCCAGTTTCTGTTCTACAGCACCTACATAATTAAAGATTTCTATTTTTTGCTCATACAGTATGTTGAGTCAAAAGAATGTTTATTCTTAAAGCTATTGATTCTTTAAATACAGAAGTATATCTAATTTATTTGCTACCAAAATTGCACAATTCTGGCAACTTGTAATTATAAAAATATAATGCACAAAATGTAAAAAATGCAATAAAATTAAACTTGAACATTAAAATAAACAATAGTAATTTTTAAAATGCGATGGAACCAATCCATATTAGGGAATATCAATTTTTCAAAAGCCCTTTAGAAAAACTCTATTTGGCAGGGTTTTTTTTAAAGATAGTGTGACATCTAGAAGAAGTCTATTCCACAAAATAGAGCCCTTAACAGAGAAACTGCTTCAGGTCTCTCCTAGATTTCACCTCATATATTCTGGGAACCCTCAACATATACAACCAGTAGAAACAAATTGGGTGGAAAGAGATGGTTCTGCAAATAAAAGGAATCAATTATTTAGGGTTTTAAAGGGTAAACCAACATTTTCAGTCTGGAAACCTATTAGAAGCCAGTGAAGCACCCACAATATAGATCAGAGGTCCCCAACCTTTTGGGCACCAGGGACCAGTTCCGTGGAGAGAGGTTTTTCCGCGGACCGGAGGGTGCATGGTTTTGTGTGCTGCCTGCATCTCATGCATGGGACTTCGCTTGTTTGTGCGGCCCAGTTGCTGGCATGCCGCGGCCCGGTACTAGTCCACGGACTGGGGGTTGGGGACCCCTAATATAGATGGCATGTCCTAAAGGTGCTTTTTCAAAAGGCAACTGGACTTCCTTGTTTTTCTTTGAAGACATTTCGCTTTTCATTCAAGAAGCTTCATCAGTTCTGACTGGATGATGGGGAATGGAAGAATTTATATTCCTTGCAGACAGCTGGTTATTTGCATTCTTTTAGAGAATTGTTGAGGCCACTTGGAGGTTTGTCTGGCCTCAGGGTCACCTGAGTAGTGTAAATGGGTATGGAGCCTTGGACACAGACAAACCTCCAAGTGGCCTCAACGACCTTCTAAAAGAATGCAAATGATCAGCTGTTTGCAAGGAATATAAATCCTTCCATTCCCCACCATCCAATCAGAGTTGAAGAAACTTGGATGAGAAGGGAAACATCTTCAAAGAAAAACAAGAGAGTCCAGGTCTGGTTGCCTCCTGAAAAAAGCACTTTTGGGATAACTAAGACCTGGATGACTGAGAATCTCCATAGGCATATAGATGGTATGGTTATATGGTTACATTCTGCACCAATTCCAATTTTTAGGTAGTTCTCAAAGCAAATTTAGTAGTCTATCCTTGTGATGAGGGCATGAATGAAAATATCATTGCCATAAATATTCACTCAGAGTGTCTATGTGTACTAGACGAAGCTGGGTTAAGGCCTCCTTGATCACAGCCTCCTATCCTAGCAATAGCTTGGAGTCCTGAAGTGTCACAGACCTGCTCTTTCAGGAAGAGTGCTACCCATTCAGAATAATTGTTGGAACAGATAGAACTAGATTGTCTCTGGACAAACAGCAGCTGCCTTGTTCGAGTTCAATCTCACTTATTTTGTCCTGTCTAGGTCCTCACAACTTCCATGTACTGAAACAAAATAGTCATGACATCTGTAAAGGTATTCTTGTAATTTGGAAACAGAAAGCAAAACATGGAAAATGAGGGATATTTCAGCCTTAAGAAATAAGCAATGGTTTAATCTTAGGAATTTATGGAGATGGGGTAGGGCACAGAGAACACATCTTAATGTACTTATTAACAATTGATAATTTTTTTAAATTTAGTTTTCAAAATAAGTAAGTTATTCCTTTCCCCCCGAAATTAAACTGATTATGTGTGAATCTTGCTTCTTTGATCATGTACTGCTATTGGGGGTTGAAAATATCTGGCTCATTCCAGAATACAATATACCACTGAGTCAAATCAGCATTCTGATGATATCAATCCTTGAACTGATGGATGATTTCATACTGATATTAAACAGAAGAGGTAAAAGGAAATCCTCTCTGGGAATATCAAGGGAGTGCTCAAGGGAATCACCCACAATAAAAAGTTCCTCCAGTTCTCGATCCTGGATATAATCATATGGATAATAATATGACCATCGACCATATTATGATAATATAATCATAATATGGTCAATGGTATTAAATGCAGCCTGGAGATCAAAGGACCAGGAGCAGCTCACTCCCTCCAACTCTTGACATAGGTAATCAATTCCAGCAATTAAAGCCATTCCAGCCCCGTGTCCAGGTCTGAACCCTAGACTGAAAACAGTTCAGGTATTTCATTGCCTCTAAAAGACTTTACAGCTGGAGCCAAAGGATCTTTTCAACACTTTCCCTAAAAAGGAGATGTTGGCAACAGTGGTGATGTATTAATTAGCAGTAGTTCAGATACTTTTTTCCCTTTTTTGACATGTAGAGGCTATATATGTGTAAACATGTGTATACTCAGAGAAAGTATCACTGAATTCAGTTTGATTTATTCCCAGGGGCAAATGTAAATAATAGAACATCCTAAGATTTCCTATGTATGTTCCAAAAGAAAAAGGTAGCAGTATTTTTATACAGCTAAAAGATATAGAGTTCAGAATCAGTTATACCTATGAAAAAGTTCAGAACCACTGACCATAGAGATCCAGTTAAGATTTTTCTTCTTTGATTTTTTTTAAAGAGAGAAGAAAGGTCAAGAATAGATTGAGCAAATCTTAAGAATTACATCCAAATTTTTATTAAATGTAACTTCCTAATTCCTTAGCAATGCCACGGGACAGCATTGGTATCAGCAGTAAGAATATCATTTTGAATGCAGGCCAGTACTCGGAAGAACATGTTCTAAAATGCACATTCAAAGCATGTGATCCAGAAGAAACAGGTAAAAAGCTTTTTAATATCATTTGTTAAGAATTTTTGAGAATATAATGATGTGCCATATTATTTTACCAATGTACTCAAACAGAAAATTTAATCTCAGTTTAATGGGGTTTTATTTAATGGTAGTCCTTGCTTAACAACTGGCCTATTTAGCAACTCTGAAGTTACAATGACACTGAAAAAGTAACTTTACAACTGATTCTCATACTTAGTGGCAGCATCCCCATGGGCACATGATTGCCATTTGTGCGCACAGGCAGCTTCTGACAAGCAGAGTCAATGGAGAAGCTGGCAGTAAAATCTTAAGTCGCAGTCATGTGACATCTCACTTAATAATCATGTTGCTTAGTGACAGACTTACCACTCTCAATTGTTAAGGGACAGAAAGTTCCAGTTGTTAAGTGAAGACTACCTGTATTTTTCTAGTCTTAGATCTTGCTAGTCATTATCCAAGTATATCTTCATTCTATGAGGAATACAAGCCTGAAAAACAAATGAAACCTAAAACGATGAAGAAACTAACATATAATTTTTCATGCTTGTGTAGTATAGCAGCATATACAACAGAGTCCAGGCTGACAGCAATTTTTGGTTAGATGCAGATTCTCATTCCAACTGGTCAATTCTGTACTAAAATAAGTTTTGTAAGATGGGTAGGTAAAGGGCATTCAGGGACTTAAGTCATTTTGTCACTAGACTTAAAGCATTTTCATAGCATCACTCAGCAGTTGTTGAAGTGATGTAGGGTCTTCCTGGTAGCTCAGTAAAAATGCTATCCACCAGTCCTTGAGGTGACAGAAAAGAATGCTAACATAAATACCCCATTACAGTCCTTATTCTCCCATAATAAGGAGGTTTGTGAATGCTGTCTTTATTGTGGGCCAAGTTAAAAAAACCAGTGGATTCTCTGGCTTCATTTTCCTTTCTATCAAATTTTTACCTGCTAGCACTGGGGTGTCAAACTACTGGCCCACAGGCCAGATGTGTCATGGCGAAACCACGCCCACCCCATTGCCGGCAATGGAAAAAAAGTTGCGATGTGTCGCTGCGAGTTTGACACCCCTGTGCTAGCAGAAGAAATATCTTTCAGTCTGATGTGAAGTGTGGAGAGTTTGAATGGGTACTTAGAATTACAAGCTTACCCGCTTGTTAAGTTGTTTAGGAGAGGGATTTCTCTCAATGGTCCTTTTGCAACCCTTTTCTGCACCTGGGACCTGTCACATTATTTCTTCACATGTTCTAGTGCTATTTTGAAAGAATGCTACGCCTGAGTTCAGAAATAGCCCAGCTGGTAGGTAAAATATAGGAGAGGGATGCAGAGTGAAATGGGATGAAGTAATGCTAACAAGCACACCTTGTCTTTAACTATTCTGCAAGGGAATAGTTGGGCCTGCAAAAAGGACCAAGGAGTCCATTCTGAATTTATCTGTTGTCATTTGCACCCAGTTGTAGTCAATAGCTGGATTAACTTGCATAATTACACTCATTACCATAGCATCAAAAATTTAGTAGATAAAAGTAGTTAAATTGGAAAAAATATGGCCGCTACGTAAAACTTCAGCAGTCAAAAAGCCAATGTAGTCCTGGGCTGCATCAACAAAAGGATAGCATCAAAATCATGAGAAGTGATAACACTGCTTTATATCACACTAGTGAGGCCACACTTGAAATACTGCATACAGTTCTGGTCCCCATGATACAAAAAAGATGCTGAGACACTAGAAAATGTGCAGAGAAGAGCAACAAAGATGATAAGGGGTCTGGAAGCTAAACTGTGTAATGAACAGTTGAGGGAGCCCGGTATGTCTGGGCTATTGAAGAGAAGGATTATAGGGGACATGATAACTGTCTTCCAGTACTTGAGAGGCCGTCACAGAGAAGAGCAGAGTGACTTATTCTCCAAAGCACCAGAGTGCAGGAGAAGAAGTAATGGGTGGAAGTTTTTTAAAGAGATATCCAACCTAGAAGTAAGGAGAAATTTTCTAATAGTGAGAACTATTAACCAATGGAATAGATTGCCTCCTGGATTTGTGGGTGCTCCATCAGTGAGGTTTTCAAAAATAGACAGGAAAACCATTTGACCAAGGAAGTATAAAGCCTCCTGCCTTGAACAGGAAGTTGGACTAGAAGACCTCTAAGGTCCCTTCCAGCCCTATGGTTTATGTTGTATGAAACTACATTTCGGATAACAAAAGATCTGTAATGTATTCAGTGTTGATAGAACTAGCAAACAACATATGGCAGAACTGGCTCTTTCCCAGTTTAAATCAGTCTGGGCAGCACAGTGCTCCTACTTTTTCAAGAGAGCTAAATCTGATCAATATGTAAGATCTGACAAATGGGCAGATTACTCTGTGGAAGTTAGGTATCCAGTTTAACTCAGCCTTTTATAAAATAGTCATGGAAGGCAGTACTTAGGAGGGAAGGCGCTATGCCCATGGTAGGCTAAGATAACCCATAAATTCTGGGCAGATTGCAGTTCTTGACCACATCAGCAATGAAAGTACTTCGAGCATATCAGATCAAATCCATGGGAAAAATGTTTTTGAGTTAAGAAAGGAAACGCTGCTGGAAGTACTGGTGAATCAGCTAGGGATGCCAGCTTCATGAAAATATAGTAGAAAAAGAAAATTGCATGTTTATGCCATCATTAGGGGCAAGTGAAAAGGACATATAACCTGCCTCATAATTATCGTTTTGATACAACAGTAGCTAAATGGCTGTACAAAATGCTGGGGAAATTATCATAGGAGAAAAATGAACATATTTTTATCTTTTTTTAAAAAAAGTTTTCATTAAATGGGATGAATAAAGTTAACGTAGAAAAAAATAATAACATATAATTAACACAGGGAAATGATATATTAAGCTGAAAATGTTTTAAAATTTAGTGAAAATGTTTAGGGTATTTTAGACCTTTCCCTAATTCTATATTGAGGCTTCAGTATAGAATGTTTTCCTGCAAGTGATTTTCTGTGTTCATAAGAAACTCATTTAAAAAAGGAAACAAAAATTATCCTACATTAAAGATTTCAGACAAATTTCCTTCTGTGAGTTTTCTAAGACTTTATTCATTTACAGAGCAGCTAGTACACATAGTTTGTTGTAGTGGTTAAAGCACCAGGCTAGAAATATGAGACTGTGGGTTCTAGTCTTGCCTTTGGCACAAAGCCAATTGGAGACCTTGGGCCAGTCATTCTCAGCCCTAGGAAGGAGGCAATGGCAAACCACTTTTGAAATCTTGCCAAGAAAACTGCAGGGACTTCTCCAGGCAGTTGCCAGGAGTCAACACTGTCTCAAAGGAACTGGAAAAAAAGTTACATACTAGTTATGTTTACTAATGACAATCTCTCTCTCTCTCTCTCTCTCTCTCTCTCTCTCTCTCTCTCTCTCTCTCTCTCTCTCTCTCTCTCTCTCTCATATACATGAACATACACACAGCTGTTCCTCTTCTCCTCCTCTTCCTCCTCCTTTTTTACCTGTCCGTATGTGGAAAAACTAACAAGGGAGATCAGTTTAATATCTTTGGCCTTACCGTATATATCAGTTTTCTAGTACTGATTTGTTTATATTTATATCAGTTTAGCCTGTGTTTCATTAAAATAATTGTACATATAATTTTGGATGGTCTATCCACATTCATAATCCACTTTATTCTGGGATCATAGGACAAGTTTCTGTTTTCCACATCATTGAATACTTACAAGAAATGACAGGGCAAAGCTGTGAAGACTGGAGGCTTCAGTCTCTCTACAAGAGATTGGACCCTGAAGAACAAGGACTTACTGTTGATTTTTCTACCTTCTATTCTGTTATGAAAGATTGGATTGCAGACTGTCAACAGGAAGGGTGAGTATTAAGAGTATTGAGAAGTTGTCTTACAGTTTGCTCTGGCATCAATATTAACTTTCCCAGATTAATCCATTTGTACTGCAAGAGTTCTCAAATGTTGTGATGTGATATTATATTAAAGAAAGTTAGGCATGATAAAAGTTTGTTTTACTTTATGTGCATGTCACCAATTTTCAAAGGCCTTACATGGCTAACAATGAACAGTAAACAATGAACATTTAAAATTCCCCCAAACCAAATATGTATAAAATCCAAATCCATATAAATAAGCCACGTGTGCTACAGATCTGATCTGCGTTTTATGGAACTCCTCTACTGCTATCCGGAAAAGAAAAGCTTTACAAGTTTTCCTGAAACACAGGAAGGATAAAACTACAAAGTTGGCCTGTAATTACTGCAGTCTTAGTACAGATATTAGCTATTCTGTTTGAAAATAGAAATGTTGAAAGTTGTAATACAGCATTTCTGGAAGGCACCTATTTAATGGAGGATGAATAAAATGATGCTTGCAGATATCCTGAAAGTAGGCAGCTAAATCTCTTACCTTGAATCTCAAAGAGACTGTTAATAGAGTTAAATGTTGCATTTTTGGAAGAGTGGTCATTAGTATAAATTTGCCGTATCTGGAACTATTTGAAGCCAAGAAATTAAAATGATTCAAATAAATGGCATAATTGTGCATTCTGAAAATTGATAGAATTGAACATAATCGATAAATATTACTGCCAAAATTGAATAAGTAAAATAGAGTATTTCCAAACTTCTGTTTGTTGGTAATAAAGTTTGGTATAGGTTCGTCATCTGTTGATACTTCTGGATTCCTGTTGCATATGGCGGAGTATGTTGCATGAGAATACAGTATGGCATGTGGATTTGTTTAATGTGGCATTTTTTATGTTTCGTTGCCCACAGTTCAATAAGGTTATATATTTTCACCAAACCCCTCTGCAAATTACTACCTTATTCCAATAGCAAGTCTCTCCTACCCAAAGAGTGAACATTCTTGACTCTTTCATCAATGTATTCTGCCCATGCAAGCAATATTAATTCTGGTTTCTTTATTCTTGCTGCTATCTGTTAGTTCATCTATGTTTCTGTGCCTGTAACTGAATACTGTAGTTTTATAATATATCCTCAACCTTCACTCCTGAGTTGATGTTTGCCATCAACATTTCTGTGCTCCAGTACCCATGCCCTTGATCCTAGGTGAGATGCCTGGGTTTGAAAAGTTAAAGTACATTTTTATAAACATTTTGATCAAAATATGGCAAACGTGATCTTCAGTTTATTTTTATGTCAAACATGAACTTCAGTTTATTTTTATATCAATTAAGAGTCTTCTTATAACTCCAGAAGGTTGGATAAATATTCTGCTAGCATTTAGTAGGGCAAACAAATTAAGGTTGTGGCAAATCAAAAGGTCATTCAGTGCTGATTTAGTTCCTCAAATTACTGATTTTCAATGGAGAAAATATATACAGTAAATATATATACAGTATTTATCCACATGCATAGTATCCATTTGGACTGTCAATAACTGGACTTCCAGTGGGACGGTAATGCAGGGGGCTGCACGTACCTAAGTTTCATCTAATGCTTCTAAAATTTATTCCATAAATATTGTGTAGGAGCTTTTTTTAATTGAAGCACACAGCATCAGTATCAGCTGTAGTTTGACTGCGACAAGCTAAGTTTTCAGAAGTGCGGTATGCCAATAATAAAGAATGTAAACTAAAGGTGGAACTCCAATAAACTTATCTCACATAGTATCAATTTTGAGAAGCATGTGTTAATTATAAAGACTGATAAGAGGAGTAGTTTTATATTTTTGTTTAGCTTTCTCAATAATGCTTTATGAACACAAGTAACTAAATCCCATCAGAAATAATAATATATACTAGTTTGAGTACAACCTCTTCAACACAATGTAGGAAAAATATGATATACAGTAATGCTATTTCAAGATGTAATATCTTCTGGAATTATTCTTATAGCCAATCCTTACTCTCTTGCTAAGATAGTTTTAAAAAGAATTATATGCCACAAAATATCATGTATTCAAGGTAAAAAACGTTTTTTTTAATATGTTCTGCTTACTTTCTACATATATATGGTATATGTATGATCTAGCTAACTAACTTACAATACTATTTGTCAGCCACTATGAAAGCTTTTTGAATAAAAAGTGAGGTGAATAATGTTTTAAATGTATAATACACAATGAAAGATATATATCCACAATATTTTTGATAATAGATGAAATGGTGAAAAGTTACTTCCATTGAACCTATAGCTTATATCAGAAGAACAGTGAATATGTCATGGTTCCGATAGATGAAACCAGTAAAAGAACTTCAAGGCAAGAATTCTTTCTTATAGAACATTTCATTCGGAAACAAAATATCGGCACTTACATTCCTCTCCCAGTTACAAAGTAACAAGTTGCAATTCCCATCCCAGAAATGCTGTCATAAATCACATTCCCCAATTAACGCAAGATGCTTTCCTCACCGGCTGGCCAAAATCTTATCAGACCATGTCCTTGAGTTCCCACACTTCTATGGTGTTATGGCTAGCTAAACCATCAAGCATTCATCCCATCCCCCCCTCTACATCGGAACTCTAAAAGAATAGAAAAGGCATGTTACAAGCAAAAGTAAAAATGGCTGCTGATTCTCAGTTGTCAGAGCGACGACATCCATTGTCACAGCATTGACAGAATTATTGGCAATAGGAACTATTTGTTCACAATTACTCTGGACCCCATACTTGTAATGAACAATTTGTTGCCTAAGATAAAATATTTGACCCAATGTTGCATACCATATGTAGAATATGTAATGATGAGTATGGTATAGTTAGCGTTGTAATGTAATGGAATATAATTGCAAAAATCACTTTTCAATTTATTGTTTTTTTCTGTTTTTTTTCCAAAAAAGGGAAGAGGCTACTGATTTGACAAACCATATCAAGGACTTATACCATGACAACAAACAGCTAGCAATGCAGAATGTTAAACTACAGAGAACTATTGAGGCTGCCGAAGAGCTCAATTCAAGACTCTCTGAAGAGATTTCTCAATTGAAAGGGAAGCTGAGAGGGTAAATGACAGAACTATAATAATAATAATAATAATGATAAAGTTGGAAGGGACCTTGGAGGTCATCTAGTCCAACCTCCTGCTCAGGCAGGAAACCTATACCATTTCGGACAAATGGCTGTCCAGTTTCTTCTTAAAAACTTCCAGTGTTGGAGCATTCACAGCTTCTAGAGGCAGGTTGTTCCGCTGGTTAATTGTTCTAACTGTCAGGAAGTTTCTCCTTAGTTCTAGGGTGCTTCTCTCTTTGGTTAGTTTCCACCCGTTACTTCTTGTCCTGGCTTCAGGCGCCTTGGAGAATAGCTTGACTCCCTCTTCTTTGTGGCAGCCCCTGAGATATTGGAACACTGCTATCATGTCCCCCCTCGTCCTTCTCTTCGTTAAACTAGACATACCCAATTCCAGCAGCTGTTCCTTATATGTTTTTGCCTCCAGTCCCCTAATCATCTTTGTTGCTCTTCTCTGTACTCTTTCTAGAGTTTCAACATCTTTTTTACATCGTGGTGACCAGGGCTTTTTTTCTGCCGGAACGCGGCGGAACGGCGTTCCGGCACCTTTTTCCGGGCCGGCCGCACCGGAAATAGCCCCTCCCAAACCGGAAGTAGCCCCTCCCACATTTTACTTGCATCTTTTTTCTAAAGGGGCGGTCCTAGGGTTTGATGGGGGCGTGGCCAGGTTTGAGTTCCGCCACCTTTTCGCTGAGAAAAAAAGCCCTGGTGGTGACCAAAACTGGATGCAGTATTCCAAGTGTGGCCTTACCAAGGCATTGTAAAGTGGTATTAATACTTCACGTGACCTTGATTCTATCCCTCTGTCTTACATGATTGTAAGGATTGATAAGGATTAATCTCAGAATGCAACTAATGCATTAAGAATGTGAGAAAGTACTTAGGAGAAGGAAAAAAAAATTGATGCCTTTATGCAACATTATGCATATATTGCTGAAAGTTAAACAGAGAAGTAACTCAGTGAGGGATCAGTACAGATCTTTGAAATATTCCCACTACACTGAACATGTCGTAACACCTCATATATTTTTCTCTGTCAATGTTTTTTGCTTCTTTCTGCAGTGCCAGTTTCCCAATATAAGTTTGTGCCTAGATTATCTTCTGTCTTAATTTTGAGCTTAATATCTAATTATTTCTTCCTTTCTTTTTCAACATTGTTGTCTGTTCATCACATATTCATGTTAATAAAGTTTAAAGGCAGAGTTCAGACCATTAGGACTGAACACATACTTTATTATACTGTATTACAGTAACCAACAAACACTGGAACAGGCTAAAGTCTTGGCAAATGAATTGGAAGATCTGAATTTTTTTTCAAAAAGTATGGAGGAGGAAAATAATAGATTACATATACAAGCGCGGCAGCTGGTAGGTCTCTCTGTACATTTAATCTATCTTGTAAGGTAACTCAGTGTTTTTTCTCCTTTAGGAAATCAATGTATGCATATTTCCTTCACATATTTATTATTTGTTTGGCATTTTATTGGAAAGTTCAAGGCTTTTGCAAAATTATTTCTGAAACTATTAGAGACTTTTCATATGCACATTGCTGTTGGGCAGCAGAACTGATTAAATTCTTAGCAGCTGCATAGGAGATATCATTGCAAACAGTTGGCGATTGAAACACTTGAAAGCATTTATTTTCCATTGGTAGGTACTCCTGTATCAGTCCAGTTCCTTGAATCTCCTGCTTCAGACTGGATTTAAGTCACAATTCAGGGCACCTTTTAAATAAGAAAGTTACAAACTCAGAATCCATGACTTATGGAGTGATTATAGGCATGTCTCTGGGTATCTTGGGTTTGACGTATGTTGGTGGGCATACGTTCAATCTCATTTTCCCCCCTCAAACTGTTATTGAAAGATCTGGAGATGGAGAGACTTTCCATCCTATTGCCATGGTCAGATCGTGCCCTGGCGTAGGAGTAAAGGCATTAGGTTAGAAATGGGGACACTAAGTTCTAGTTCCGCCTTAGGTACATAATCAGCTGGGTGATCTTAGGCCACTTCTTCTCAGCCCTAGGAAGGAGGCAGTGGCAAATTGCTTCTGAAAAAGCCTTGACAAGAAAACTGCAGGACCACAGGTAGACATCAACTCATGATCACAATTGAGATTGGAATTTCTGTCACTAAGCAATGCAGTTGTGAAGTGATAGCAGTCCTAGCACTCCCTGTTGCTGTTGTTAACTGAATTCCATTGGTTGTTAGCTGAATATCCATGCCAATCCAAGCCATTCTGGGCTTGGTCCCTCTTGACCTCAAGTCTCAGCCAGGTGAAGGACTGCCTCTTTTTCAGTTCCTCCCGCCTGCCTATTTCTTCTTCATCTGTGCTTTTTTGGCTGCCCTGCACTCTGTCATATGAGTGGCAAATGCCCTAGAATTGCTTAGCTCTGGGATTGCTTGCCATATTGTGGCTCAGAGGCTTTTTGGTACATTGGGGCTTTGTGGATGCAAGAAGTCCATGAGCTACAGTAAAGCCCCAACCATCTCAGGAGTGTGGTGGAAAACCCCAGCCACCTCAGGAAATCTCAGCTGCCCTAACCCAGTGCCAGATACAGTTGGCCTTGCACTTCACTGCCCTAGCCTTTACCATCTTCTTGCTCCCCTTGCTTATGAAGCGTGCTGGCCTTGGCCTTTTGTGAGGCAGCTGCTAGCTACATGAGTCCATCTTCCCCAGTTCTTGTGAGGAACCTCTGTGAGTGAGGAACCTTCTGTGGCTAGCAGTTGCATCCAAAAGGTCAAGCTAGGTATACTTGGTCTACAAAAGGAACAAGAAGATGGAGAAGGTCAGCTATGGCGCCAAGGGCTGCGTAGTGCAAGGGGGCAAAAGGGCACAGATGGGGAGGAGATAGATGGGTGGGGAGAGTTGAAGTGCCCCTGCAGTAGTAAGTGAAAGTAGCCTGTCAAGTGCCTGAATTTTGATCATGTGATTGTGGGGACTCTGCAACAGCTGTACGTTTGGGGACTGCTTGTAAGTCTTTTTGTTCACCACTGCCATAGCTTCAAAAAGTTGCTGAATGAATGGTTATAAGTCCAGGACTACGTATAGTCCAGGCAATCCCCAGAGTCAGAAATTGAATCAAAGGCCCCCACAAACAAACAAACAAACAAACAAACAAACAAACCCACAACCCAGATGCATGATAGATTTTATTGATTTTCAGAAGGCATTCAGGAATTTGCCAGCTCTCTGATGGGCTTTTTTTTGTGCAGGATCTGGTAAAAGGCTGCCATGAGGCAGCGAACCAGGCGCTAAATGTTATTGCCCCCATGAATCCAACAAAGCATGGATATGTGCCTTTGTTCAGGCCTACATCATGGTGATAAGGAAGGAGAGTTATGTCTACTTCTCCTTACTGCATCAGATAGCTGCTATCCTGTGGCCTTGTATAGGGTTGTAAACTCCCTACTAAGGAAAAAAACAGCTTTATGATCTTACACTTGGCCACTGCAACCAGTTTCTATAACATTTTGAAAGCACAGGAAGGTGGGGAAAGAAGGCAAGGTGTGTGGGAGCAGAGAGAGGCCAGGGAAAGATGGCTTGGGGTGCCTGCATGTGTACGTGAGCTGAGGGGAGCCAGGGAAAGAGGGTGTTCAGTTGATCTGTGTGAGTACAGAAGATCTTTTTTTTTTTTTTTTTTTCAAAGAATTTTTTNTTTCAGCAAGATGCGAAACCTTCACTCTCCAGTCCTCTATTGTAGGTAAAACTTTACTCTTCCAGTTTTGAGCTATCAGCAAACGGGCAGCAGTTAGACAATACAACATCAAATTCGTTTCTTTTACATCCAAGTTATGTGTGATACCTAGGAGAAACAACTGAGGCAGAAAGAAAATTCTTCTTTTAAAAACTTGCTGCAAATTCCACCATAATTTTATCCAAAAGGCCTTAATAACCTTACAGGTCCACCACATGAGTACAGAAGATCTTGATATCCTTCAGGGAGACCTACAAGAGTTGGGAATAGGTGTTGTTTTACAGGTAATCCTTGACTTACAACCATTCTATTTACAATTATTTTAAAAAGTGACTTACTATTGGTCCTCACACTTAACGATCATCACAGTGTCTCTAAGATTACATGATCAAAATTTGCGTGTTTGGCAATCAGCATGTGGGGTGTGTGTCACATGATCAGTATTTGCGATCTTCCCAGGGGCTTTCCAACAAGCAAAACCAATGGGGGAAGCTGGATTTGCTTAATGATTGTGTGATTCACTGAATGACTGTAATGATTTGCTTAATAACTGTAGCAAAAAAATTTGTAACATCGGAGGCAACTCACTTAATGACTGCATCACTTAGCGACAGAAGTTCCCGTCCCGATTGTGGTTGTAAGTCAAGGATTATCTGTACAGTGGTTCCACTTATTCTTTGATCTGTGTTGATGTGGGAAAAGAGGTTGGCCTAGTGGTCACTGACTTGTCAGCCTGTCTCCCTTGCTTTTTAACATCTATGTGAACCTCTTGGTAGAAGTCGTTCAATGATTTAGGGTCCAGTATCATCAATATGCTGATGATATCCAATTGTGCATTGCCACCCCAGGCTATTGTTTCCCAGATTTTGGAGGCTGTCAAAGTGTGGATGGCAGAAAATAAATTGAAGTTGGATCCTGCCAAATTCGAATTGCTGTTGATACATTGAGGTCCTCTGCCCCACTGAAAGTTACTCTATAGATTTCCTCCATGGATATCAAATTGGTTCTTTCTTTGATGTTTGATAGCTTTTAAAAATTGAATTGTTTTCGCAAGCTTTCCTGTAATGTGAATGTTGCCATTTTTATTTTTATTTAGTACTTTTGCAAGTTATGTTGCATACGCATGGTTTTTATTCTTATTGTGTTAGCAGTTTTTTAAAATTCTGTACTGTGGATGTTTCAGTTTGAGTTTCTTTGGATTGTGCCACTCTGTTTAATAAATACATAAACAAATAAGTGGTTCTTTAAAGTGATAACATGACTCCAAAACCGCCTGGTCAGTTTTTTAAAATCACTGCTAAACAGATGCTGTGGAATGGGCAATGTCTGTCAGTTTTGGCATTACAGTGTAGGGAGCATTGATCATTGTAAGAGCACTTCAGAGTGTTGCAGAAATGGGAGCAGTGAACACAGGCAAGCCCTTTGAATTCCTTTATGAAGATTTGAGAACTAAAAGGGGCAGCTTTGTATAAGTGCAATCACAAGCTTATTTAAGTCATGAAAATATAGTGTGGACACAACTTTTTTCAGAATTGTTGTGACGGCCATTTAGTCAAGATGTTTTCTTCTATATACTTTAGGAAAAAGAGCAGCAGTTTCTCTCTGTTAAGATGGATAACCTTCAGGATGAGGTAAGGTAAAGAGGGGAGAGTTCAGAAAGTGAGGTTATAGTAGTTATGCCTGAAATAATTGCAGGGCTTGCTAGCCACTTCAATTTAACAGAATTTCAAAGGCAGCAGAAAATTGTACCACCTTGAAATTTTCTATCCTCATTGCTGATCCCTATCTAACTTCTGTTCCAAGTCACTACAATTGCCTGACTTCCATCTGAGGTACTGAGTAACAATGCCTAACACACATTCTTACTTTAAGGCTGCCTTCGGATAGTGTCAAAATAAAAGTGAGATATTTTTAACAGCTGTACAGCTAATAATCTTTTATTTCAAAAAGAATCACTGCATGAAATTACATATTACCCCATAAAAGTATAATTGTATATATTAACTACTTGTTGTAAATTGGATTTTATTATCTTCCTCACTCAGTTAGAAAAGAAACTAGTCAAAACACCATCAACACATACTGCTTTGACACAGAGGTAACAAACATTAATAATCTGTTGTATTTGTCTTCCAGAACAAAAAGTTGCTTCTGGAAAAGGAAAGCTCAGAGGGTAAAATCAAAAAGCTATTTACAAAGAAAGCCAAAATGAAGGTATGAATGAGCTGAGTTGTATACATAGTTTATCAAAAATGTCAGTGTACCACTAGTTGGGTAGTTAACTGCTTATAATTTGGCTATATGATTGCAACTACCCTACTTGTATTTTTATTTCCTCATAGTCACAACTCTCTGAGTATGAAAATCATATCTCCTGCAAAGATGCTGCCCTTAATAAGGTAAGTTGTTTGTCCAGAGTATGCCAAATTGAAAATGTAGCTATGTCATAGCGGGGAGGTAAAATAACAGTGTGGGTCTTATGATATTGTGTGCTATTATGATTATAGGGATTAAAACAACTATTGTTTTAAGGTGATGAAGAGTTTTTGCTATCATAGCTATAATAATAAATGCAGATACCATTTTAAACACTCATCACCACTAATTTATTAAAGCTGCTTCACTTTTTCAAACTTTTCTTATGAGCCTGAAAAATTGATGTTGCAGAGGTATACACTTTACAGCAATTCAAAACGATTCTTCTGATGTTAAAATAATTGACAACCTCCAGCTAAACTTGTTGTCACTGCATTCAGGAATCCCTAGGTGTCACTACAACTTCAATGTTAAATTTAATTTGATTATGAAAAAAAGAAACAATTCCTAGTTTCAGATTGCTACTTTCAAAATCTTTGCTAGAACACAGTTTGCTTTGTGATGCTGAATTGCTTTCTTGTTTGGATTTTATTAATGTTTATATTTACAGAAAACAAAACAAATTGAAGAGCTTACAATAACTCTGGATGAATATCAAATGATGGTACAGGTAATGTACATTTTAATTGTGACAAGAAGGAATCTAGCCAGAGTATCATTAAGCAATCCAGGCACAAGCAATCCATTAAGCAATCCATTCCACTGCTTGGAATGTCAACAGATTATTATCCTCAAGTTTCCCATTTCAGTTACATAATTGTAAAAGTATTGGTAACTCATATTAGGAAGGTGAAGATTCACAGGTTTTTCAACCCTTTCTTCAGTTTATGGCAAGTGTTCCACACCAGTGGAATTACTGAAATGTTAATGAAATTGAACATTCCTGTAAAGTAAGTCTATGCAGATTTCTAGATATTTCTGTTTAGCTATTGTCTTGCTTCTTTTTTCTGCACTATTATAGCAGGGGTTGTACATATTCTTATACTGTTCTGTCCACATAGGAATTGAAACTGGAAGTTAGTAGGCTTCAAGAACACTTATGTCAGTCCTATCAAGACCTAAAAATGTAAGTGCTAGCAGCATTGGATATTTTTAGTGTGAGAGTTTTAAGATGTACCATAATGCCTATTGAATGCTAATACTATAATATTTGTTACAAACTATATTTTTAAGGAAAGACTAAAAAGTGATGTTTAATAAATACCACATACAACTGCTATTCCAATAAATCTTGAGGCTAACTTGTAATTATATTATTCCTTTCACCCTGAATCATGGTCAATCTCATATTTATTCACAAAAAAATTATGTAATACATATGTAATATAAAACCTTTTTGTTATATTAGCTTAACTGTATCTTAATTTTGGGAAGACTTTATACTGAACAAGAATAAATGGTTAATAAAGAATAAATACAGTCTTTTTCAATTTATTCAATCTGTTTTATTATATATATTTAAACCATTTTTCAAACCAGATGTGTACCTGCAGAAATGTAATAGAAATGGAAAACATTTTACAACTCAGCAGTAGTTTTTTTTTAATGCAGGTCACCAACAGACTCTCTACAAAACATGAATGGTTCCATACAGACATCCGCACAGTCGCTCTACAAAGAGATTGAGGAATCACGTAGAGTAAGAAGTATTTCTTTTTAGAGAGTGATGCCATTGCTTTAGATCAGGGGTGTCAAACTGCCAGCCTGCGGGCCGGATGCGTCACGCCGAAACCACGCCCACCCCATTGCCAGCAATGGGGAAAAAGTCACGATACGTCGCGACACGTCACGTGACGTTGCGAGTTTGACACTCCTGCTTTAGATGAACTGATAATAATCTTGGGTAGTTTGAACATAAACTGGGAATGTATTAAAGAGTAGAAGCCAAAAATTTATCATGAACATTTTGCATTTAACTGTATCTTACCCATATAATGAAATGAATAGAGAATTGCTATTTGCATTCTTTGGAGTACAAGCAGAGCCAAGTAAGACCTAGCCGACAAAACCAAATTTGTTAGGTTTCTGGAAGACTTTTAAGACCTGGCTCTTTCCCCAGGCCCGGTATTAGTGGAACCCTTGTTGTGGTTTTGTTTGCTTGTTTGTTTGACTACTAAGGCTGTTATGTTTTGTTGTTATGCTTTTAATTGTTTGAAATTGTAAATTTGCTCAGGATCTTTAAGAGTGGGACTGTTATAATAAACTAATAAAACTATAAATGCAACAAGCTTATTAAAATTAAGAAGAAATTTATGAAATGCTAGATTAATCTTTCGAAAGTAGGTAAAGATTGGGATTATTTGAATTTAAGGGCAAAAAAAGCACTTTTAAAGTACCTGCTTACAATTCTTTAAAGCTCGCAGAGTTTCACTCAGGATTTGACAATAAATTTCTGAAAACGCAAATCTGCACCCCAGAGCAATATGAAGAGACAAAGACATGACTCAGATAAATAAGTTACTTTTACTGCAGATAGAAGCCCAGATAACTAAAATCAGTTCGTAGGTGATCAAGCCCTCTATAAACAAATCATGGTTTAAATATTACAACTCCTCTGCCTGTTTTTATATAGAGATGGAGAATACCATTCATTGCTCAGCTCTGAATGTAATAATGATGATGATGATGATGATGATGATGATGATGATGATGATGATGTTAGAAGGGACCTATGCATGTTTTGGTAATAGTACTGTCTGATCTCAGATTCTTTGCTTCTGGCTTTACCAGTTTATTCCACACAAAAATAACTGCCTCCTCGAATTGCATAATTCCTTTCGTATTCTTGTGAAGATGAATGTAAGGAATTGCAATTGTGCTACCTGTATCCATGCTCCAAAACACATATTTCTTTTCAGATTTAAAGCGTAGCACAATACCTGTAGAGATGCTAATATTAAATTATAATTAAAGTTGGCTGGTCACACCTGTGTTGTCTTATACTGAGTAATCATTAACAACTCAATCAGCATGGGAATGGAGTTGTCACACTACACTCCAGTACCAAAATGGGATTATCACATTACAGGCCAATCCTGGATTGTTATAGTTATAATGCATATAACACATGTAGTAGAAACAGATATTGTTCTGGGAGTGGAGTAGCATTTTGCCAAGAACAAAATATTTTATTCTGAGTGTTAGAAAAAAGCAGTCTCTGTCATGAAATACTATATTAATAAATATTTAACTGTCAACATTCCTCGAACTATGACTTGATATACCTTTGTTGTATGTAGCAGGAGATCAGTAGGGAGTGTGGCTTGCCTAGTCCTCTGTGTGGGATGTTGAATTCTTTGGTGATACATCCAGTGGCTGAAGGAAGCATTGATTCTTTGACAGAACAGGTAAGTATAGAATCACAAGTACACTGGGGGTTTTCTCCCCCTTTTTCCTGAAAACCTGAATTACGATGACACATACTGTAGATTTCATAGCAGTGAGTGCTTAAAGTTTAACTCCTGCTTTAATTATGGCAAATGATTCCAAAAGTTGATTTGGACACATTGGTTTGGTAGCCCCTACTTCTGTTTTTAGTTTTTTTTTTAAAACAAATTAATTCCAAGTGATATCTGGAGCCAATTCAAGTTTGCATGTCCAGCTTTCAGCAGATACTGTTCAGGATTTCAGTACACATTCATCTACTCATACACATTCCCATCAGCAGAAGGTGACTGATTAGCCAGCAGTGACTTATTTTCAGTCCTTTTGCTTTTGGAAATCTGCTGTAATGGATTAAAAGAATCTATAAAAATCACCAAGATAACTTTGTTTTTCTTAATTTAGAACTCTTTGGATAAACAATATAGCAATAAAATTAATATATACTTAATTAGAATTCAAAGCATTGTCTTTATTCCTTCATATAAAAGATAGAATCTCACTTGTAGTTTTCTGTTTTTTTAACTATCTGGGCAATAACTATCTGGATATTTGTAGCTTATATATGATAGCACTACTTTCATAACCTTTTTAAGTAAGTTAAAAAGTCCTGCTTTCAGTCTTGTTAAGAATTGATAAAGACCTAATGTGAGATTCATTGTTCCAGCAGCTATTCCTTTTCTCTTCTTCTAGAAACATAGCAAGAATGGGTCAGATGTTACCAAGGCATCACTTCCAGTTTCACATAATATGCCTCATTTAAGCTTTGCAACTGATGGTAAACTAATATCGAAGAATCAGGAACATAAACAAGACCGAAATCATCTTCTATCAGAGAAAGGGGGAAGGTAGGAACAATGATGACATTGCTGAATGAGTGAGAATGTTTTAAGTCTCAAAGATATTTTTTGATCGAGAGTTTAGCTACAGTATAAATTGGGCGGGTGATTGGGAATACCCAGACCTCCTTGGACATAAACTGTTCTTTTTAACACTTGAATTCGTCTCAGGGATAGATGTAAATAGAGACAATAACAGAAAAAAATGTTGGAAAATGAGAGCAACAGATGCCACCCCAGCGAGATTTTATGACACCCCAAGATAGACAAAATAGGAGTCCCCCTGAGACTATTATAGCGCTACGAGATACCCTTACCTACAACCTGGCTAAATGGCTGGCACAATGTTTAAGCACAACGTTCATTACAATTTTTGACAAAACTGCAAGGCTTAAATGTGGCTCCTGATGAGATCATGGTCTCCTTTGACATAGTTTCCCTATTTACATCCATCCCTCCTCACTTAGAATACGAAATAATAGATAAAAAACCAGAAGAAGAGTACAACACAGATCACAATAACCTAACCAGGTCATAAATGATGAAGCTACTCCAGTACTGCCAATAATGTCTTTTTCACATTCAAAAGGGAAATGTATGAGCAAATGAAAGGGACATCCACAGGATCCCCAATATCAGGAGTCATTGCAGATACTGCCCTGCATGAACTAGAACACCATGCATTTCAAAACTACACTCTTATTTATTTATTTATTTATTGAATTTATATACCGCCCTATCTCCCTTACGGGACTCAGGGCGGTGAACAGGCGATAATAAAAACCATGATAAATATAGGCAGTTCTAAAATCAAATTAAATAACGGGCCTGTTCTAAAAACACACCCATACAAAACCCCCCACTAAAACATAATCAAACTACGCCAGGCCGTTGGTGCTGCTCTGTAGTTGGTGCTGCTCTGTAGATGACACGTTTGTCATGAAAAGAAATGCACTGAAAGACTTTCATACTCTACTGAACTCCATTTTTCCAGACATACAATTCACAATGGAAGAAGAAACGGCTAGACAATTACCACTTTTAGATGTGCTTGTCAACAGGCAGGAAGATGGAAGCCTAGAAACCACAGTTTATTGCAAGGTCACCAACACTGCAAATATTCTTAGTTTCAACAGCAACCATCCACTGTCAAAACATTAGAGTAGTGGCCAAAATTGTGAAAACTTTTTGGGAAAAGTGTACAGTAGAAATGCCACCTTTGGTTAAGTTTCCAACAAATTTTCTTCTAATTTCTTTATAACTGTAGCCTTGTTCACTTAATAATAGTATTTTACGTCGCTTTCTTTCAACTCTTTGCACTATTACTTTAATTTTATTACATTTTACAAGCTCACTAAATGAAAGAAAAAACCCTCCCAACCAATTTGATAGCGATTACATAACACACTGACAAATGTCCTCTCAGCTTCAATACATGACATCAATAACTGAATCTGATTGGTTCATTGCCAAAACAAGATGACACCTGATTGGCTCTCTAACACTCATGCTCATTGACTACAATCAGATGAAGGAAAGATATCAACATAAGCAAGTTGTGTTTCCTTTTTCTGGTTATTGGCTATAACTTTTCATAGAATACAGTACAGATAATTGAACAAACTATGTTACATTACATTCTTGATTAAATTATCTTTCCATTGATATATAATTTTATGGTACTACTTCAAAAAAAAGTGTGTTATTAGCCATCAAATCTCAAAAATACACTTTTCCCAAAAGGTTTCCATAATTTTGGCCACTACTGTATATGGCAGGGTGAGAACCCACTGTAGTACCCAGGAAGCTAAGCAACTGGAGAAAAGGTACCTACGTGAACAATTCAGACAGTATAGGTACCCACAAGCATTTATTAGAAGATGCCTGTACAACATGCAAGAAAGAGAAATGAAGAAAGAATGTATAAGACCAACTTTATGGCCCACCCTGCCATACATCAAAAACATTTTGGAAGCAGTAGAATGCAGCTTCCAAGATGTGCAAGTGGGCACTGTGCGTGCTGCACAGAGGCTACGATACGAGGACAAATTATGAATTGCAAAGATCACTTGGAGTTGGGAGATACTTCTACCAGATTCCCTGCATGGATTGCCCCTGTGACTACGTATGACAGACGGGGAGGAAGCTAATCGCCAGACTGCAAGAACACAAGCGAGCGGTCAGATGAGGAGACCCGAACTCATTGGTAGCCTCACATTGCAATGAACAAGGACATACATTCAATTTCACAGCTACTAAGTTCGTTGGCTGAGCAGGTACAAAGGTAGCCAGGGAAATGATTGAAGCCTGGGAAATGTTTCCCTTGTCAGTCAACAGGAGTGCTGATTTACCACCAAGGACTTGGCAACACAAGGAAACCAGTAGCCGGCCATCAACACCAGTTATTGTGATAGGAAGCCACACCAATGAGGCACCACATAAATATGACACACAAAGTAGCCCAAAGAACACATTCTGGTAGAGAGAAGTTCCCTGAGGATGGGCTCCAGCATGAGTCCAAAAGCTTGGAAGACTAAACCTCTGGTCCTGGTTGAATGCCCCAGATTGGGATTCTGCAAACTATCAACTAGTTCTGGATAGCATTCCAGATTCTTCCCTTGCTTATTGTGGCTTACATACCTAGCAGGCATGTAAGATGAAGGTGAAGATTATACTCATAGAAAATTTGTTATGACTTATGCTTATTTAAAGGGGAAAACTACTTTAAAATTAGAACACCTAAGGACAACTTAAGACTGCCTTAAATATGAGTTGCCAATGTCTTAAGGATATGGCAAAAAAGAGTTTCTAGCTAGGGCATGTTCTGCCATTGTTATCTAGAAAAGGGAAATGTCCATATATAGTGAGCATTTTAATCTTGTTAAAAGTTTCCTCAGTTCAGACTGAAAAAGTTTTCTGTTGTATCTCTGTATCTATCTGTGTTTAATAAGTATCTTTTTTTTTTCCAATCCAGCAAGGAGGAATCAAAACAAAACCTGACAAATGAACACACTGGCAATAGCAAGACTCTTGAATTGACTCTAAAGAACATGGATGTGTGGACCTACCCATCTAATATAGAATCTCAGGTACTTTCTTGTATTTGCAAAGATAGATAATGACATAGAGCAGTGGTGGCGAACCTATGGCACGGGTGCCAGAGGCGGCACTCAGAGCCCTCTCTGTGGGCACGCACACCATCGCCCCAGTCCTAGGCCTTCAGCTGGGTTTTATAAAACCTTTTCGCTTTAAGCCTCTGCCGTGTGCAAAAAAAAAAAAAAAGGTTCAATCAGTGAGTCAATTTCAACTTCTCACGGGAAAAAAAAAGATCTTGCAAAGTTGGAATTGATTGGTTGAACTTTTTAGTCCCACCCAGTCTGTCGTTACCACAGCAGCCATGCCCACTCAATGGGCCATGCCCACCCAATGGGCCACGCCCACCCAATGGGCCACACCCACCCGGCACCCGACAATGCATAAGTGGGTTTGGGATTGCAGTTTGGGCACTCAGTCTCTAAAAGGTTCGCCATCACTGACATAGAGATTTCTAATTTGGAATGGGGATATTTTTAGATAGACTGATTGGCAGCCCTTTTTATGCACTGAATCAACAATTACTTTCTTCTGTTACTGTCTGTTGTTCCTTATTCATACCATATTCCTTTATGACTTTGAATCTAAGCCAGGGTATAATCTATAGTTGATTCTCCTTCAAAAATGAAGGCTTTGGAGTGACCACAAAACAAGACTGCTTCTGTATTCTTTGTCTGTTAGCCCTGTCTATCTTCTCAAACTCTGAAAAAGAAACAAACAGAAACAAAGATATTGGTGGGAATAGGAACTGAGCTTTTTTCAGCCTGTCAACTGTAGCTGTGACTAAGAAATCTACAGCAGTAGTGAACCTATTTTTTTCAATTTATTCTCCTATCCATTGTTAGAATTAATTCTCACCCAGTCAGAGAATGGTATCATAATAAGGTTTTTTTCAATCACTTTCTATTTTACTTAATTGCCTTTTCCTAGGTAAAAGAGTTATCTTCAATCTATGTAATTGCAAGTATCTTGTGGATATACTGTATATATCAGTGGTGGCGAACCTATGGCACGGGTGCCAGAGGCGGCACTCAGAGCCCTCTCTGTGGGCACGCACGCTGTCGCCTCAGTCCTAGGTCTTCAGCTGGGTTTTATAAAACCTGTTCGCTTTAGGCCTCCGCCATATGCAAAAAACCTCAAAAAACGGTTCAATCAGTCAATTTCAACTTCTTGCGGGGAAAAAAAAGATCTTGCAAAGTTGGAATTGATTGATTGAACTTTTTAGTCCCATCCAACTTCCTCAGGGCTGTAGTTCATACAGGGCGGGAGAAGTTCCCTTATAGCTGGCCATTGCTCTGCATCCGGCACCAAGCCCTAGTCATCGGGCGTGGCCGGTCAACGAGAGTTTTGCTTTCCTTGCCATTGGTGGTTAGGCTCCTGCTCCTACTCTTAGTCTCGGAGTCAGTCCTCCTCTCACGAACACACTCCTCCGCCGGAGATGCTTTTCGGTATGGGCAATGCACCCCTAGACCCCCCTCCATCCACCCCCTTAGTGCTTCATGGACGCCGGCACACTGTCGGCAAGGGACAACCCATCGCGGAGCGATGGCACCCCCCTGTAGACCGGGAGCTTGGACCCGCTCCGCGACGCGTGCCATGCTTGAGGCTGTGAGGGATGATTGTGGGGTTTCTGATGCATCTGGACGGCTTGGTTGCGGTCTCCGGCTTGCAGTGGATGGAGGAGAGCGAGAGACGCTTGAGGTGGTTGGGGACCGTGAGACGTCTTCCGAGAACGGACCGTTGCGCGACCTCGCCGCCTCTCCTGCGTGTAGAGATGCTGAGCGGAGCAGAGTGGAGAGGGGTGGACGCCCCGCTTGTAAGCACGACGCACACCCTGTGGAGACTGGCGCAGGCGTCTATGACTCCATGGGCCTTCCTGGAGTGAAACACGAACGGCGGCACCCCCCTCCCACTTGGGCAGCCTGGGGTAAAGGGCGTTTCCACCCCATAAGCCAGCCATACCCTTCACTGCCCTCCAGTTCGGAAGTAATTGCAGGATCAGTTCTCCGGGGAAAAGCATCTCCGGCGGAGGAGTATGTTCGTGAGAGGAGGACTGACTCCGAGACTGAGAGTAGGAGCAGGAGCCTAACCACCAATGGCAAGGAAAGCAAAACTCTCGTTGACCGGCCACGCCCAATGACTAGGGCTTGGTGCCGGATGCAGAGCAATGGCCAGCTATAAGGGAACTTCTCCCGCCCTGTATGAACTACAGCCCTGAGGAAGTTGGCAGTTTGCCAACAAAAGCTAGGTCTTCAATTTTTGTAGATTTCTTTTAATAATTTTGTAGGTTTTAACCAGTATTTGTCATGTTGGTTTTTACCATCAAATATTTTTAGAGTCTCTTCTTCTCCTGGTGTTCTTTACTTCTTGTTGTGATATATGTATGTATATATATATATGTGTGTGTATATATATATATATATGTGTGTGTGTGTGTATACACACACACACATATACACACACACATATATATATATATATGTGCGTGTGTGTGTGTATACACACACACACACACACATAGGGAGAGATAAGAAAAAGATTTAAATAATTGAACAGACATTTTCATTAATAAACATTAATCAGCAGTAACATGTTATTCATTTTTCCTCCAAGATGGTGCATTTTAGCTTTCAAGAAATCATGGTTTTCAGCTCAGCAGAATTGTAAGTGCATGTGTTGAGTCCATTATGCAGAATAAGGTGTTGGTCTACTCTTAGTAGCAGAATTTGTACTTTCACTGAAGAACAACAAATAAATATTTTGAAGAAGCAATTGTACTTGCACATGGGATATTCATGCTGCTTCTTGTTTGGCTCAGCACCTGTGAACTCTTTTCAGCAGCTGAGCCAGTTTAGTGCAAAAGAATTTTTTTTAAAACTGGGTTTTAGCTGTAACTCTCAAGAGTTGTGAGTTTATCCATTAGAGGAGAAGTTTTGCTTCATTCCTTTTCTCTGAGCTTCAGCTGTCCTGCCAAGTCATGTAAAAGGTTAACAGCTTAGTATCTCTACTTCAGATGCAAATAGAATTATACGGTTGGAAGGGACTGCAGAGATCATCCAGTCTATCCTCTTGCATAACTATAGGGGTCACTATACCACCCTCAATATATATGGTGAATTGACAAGTTTCTGTTTTCCTATTTGCTTCCACAGGAGATAGTTACATGTCAAATACAAGTTTTTGCTTTCCTTTTGTGGGGATGATGGGATTTTTTGTTGCTGCATAGCTTAGGGCAGGGCAATTATTTTTACTCTTTATTCTTAGCATTCCTGAATCAGCAGGAAAGACTCATCATGGTTTTTTTCAAAGTTAGTTTCAAGGAATTGGGAACAGGGGTTTGGAAATGCCCAAGACTAATAAATACAAGTGTTTTAATCAGTAAAATAATTGCATGATCTCACAATTTTAAAACTGCATTTCAAATAAGTTATTTTTCTGATTATTTGAAATTAAATATAATTTGTATAGAATATATTCTTGGAAAATATACTATTACACTATTTCATTCTGAAGTTGATATATACTCACAGTTGCTTTTCCCATTTTTAAAATAGAAGAAAAATATATCACAATCTGGATGGGATAGATTATTCCAGAAGTTTCCAATGATTTTGTCTTACTGGTGGCAATAACATAGATGTATATTGTCTCAAATGAAGTTCTATAATATGTGGGGCTTTTGTTCCAGAAGTTCTGAAGAAGCCTTGCAGAAACACCCTTTCGTCCCAAAAGATGGTGAGCTAATCCCAAATGTTTTGAAAAAAACTAATGGTCACTCATGTGAAATCCTACTTCAAAGGTAAGAGACCACTGTATTTGTCACATACTTTCACCAATAATATTTATTCTTCCATATAGTATTATTACAAGTGGTCTTTGACTTACAACAGTTCATTTAGAGACTGTTCAAAGTTACAACAGCACTGAAAAAAGTGACGTACGACAATTTTTCACATTTGCAATCATTGCAGCATCCTCACAGTCATATGATCAAAATTCAGAGGCTTGGCAACTGATTCATATTTATGACCGTTGCAGTATCCTGGTGTCATGTGATCACCTTTTGTGACCTGACAAAGTCAACTAGGAAGCCGGATTCCTTTAACTAAATTAATAACTGAAATGACTCACTTAACAAATGTGGTAAGAAAGGTCGTAAAATGGGGCCAAGTTCACTTAACAAATGTCTCAGCAATATACATTTTTGGCTGAATTGTGGTTGTAAGTTGAGAATGACCTGTATTTTTTTTGTGCTCTATTATGATTTTTACATACTTTTTGTGCTTTCAAATCAGTCTTTTCTCCTGGTGCTGTCTTGAAGTCTTGCAGTTTTCCTGACAAGATTTTGGAAGTGGTTTGCTATTGCTTGCTTCCTAGGGCTGAGGGAGAGTGACTAGCCCAAGGTCACCTTGTTGGCTTTATGCCTAAAGTGGAACTAGAACTCAGAGTTTCCTGGTTTCTAGCCTGATGGTTTAACCACCACATCAAATTGGACCCTTTTTTATAGGAATTATATGTAATTTCTTTGCTTCCCATGTACTATATACAGTAATTACCATGTCTAGTAAATTCATTACAGATACTATTCAGATAGAAATTGGCTAGAAGTAAATCTAGGATAAATAGTCAATATAGTACTAGACCAGGTTATGCTAAAACAGATAATTTTAAGACCAAGGAGAATGCTGCTTTTTCCATTACTAAGATTCATATACTGGAAATCATAGTTAAAGATTCTGAAGACAGATGGGTAGCTTCTCAGGAAGCTAATTATTCTTTCAGCTAATAAAAAGTACTGTATAGTATTTGCCTTTTTGATAAAGTAAATAAGGGATATAAAATATTGAACTACTAGACCATGGGTGTCAAACTGATCACGTCACGTGACGTATCATGACATGTTTTGCCTTTGCGGAGCCGGCGTGGGCCTGGCCTGCGCGTGACACATCCGGTCCTGAACTAGACTCTTGATTCTCAATTTCAAAATATAACAAACGCTTCTTGAAGTAATTAAATATTTCCGCAGTTTTCTTGTATCTACAATATGAAATAAAACAGACTAATGATGTACATGCAGTTGACATAGGATCTTGAAATGTTTGAAAGTGAAACATAACAGAAAAATAATTAAATAATTAAGAATATAGCCCCTGAAGCATATTTACACCCATGTAAAATGTGCTGATTTATCACCATATTGGTTTAGTCTTGATTAAAGAAGAACTTTATCAGGAGTGAAGGATTGCAATTTGTTTTCTTAATGTTTAAATGCTGTTTAAAGACTGAAATAAGAAATGGACCCAATTAATAGAGGCCACATTCTTTTCCTACGAAAAGGGCTACAATCCAGCTGTTTGGATTATTTCTATTTTGCATATACAATGTTTTAAAAGAAGAAAGCCACGGTATCATTTGTGTTGCTTTTTGATGATTTTTAAATATTTTATATCTGTGCCATAGCAAACAGAAATAATGAATTTCATACTGTTAGCTCTAATTTAAAAGAATCCTGCTAATCCCCATTCAGTAAAAACTCATTATAGCTTCTGTGTTTCCTGATTCTGTATCTGACTTAAATGTGCAGGTGCCTTTTTTCTCTTAGTATTTATTTCCTTTCCCCCCTCTTCTTTTCTTTCCACACAGATTTTTTGATGTCCCATTAGGCTATCTAATCCTGCACATCCTCCAGGAACTATTACTCCTTGGGCTGCTGCTTCTTTTGTGTGTTTCCTTGCTAGCAGTTTTCTGTTTAGTTATATTCTACAACCAATTTTCGATGTGGATTGAGCCAGGGGGAAAATTTTGGCATTTCTTGTCATTGCAGTATCGACATCTACCACCTATCTGACCATTATCCCATCCCTTAAATCCATACAAAGAAAAGGAGATGTCTGGGAAGATCCAACATGTAAAGAAATATTTTACAAGAATAAATTAAATGGAGCATTTTTTTCAGTCATTCGTGGGATATAAGATGGGATGTGCTACATTTCCTGCCTTCTTTCATTAATGGGAAAGGCAAATTACCTAGTTTTTCAAGCGAAAAGGAAAATTCCAATGAATTATTGTAACCAGATTCAGCTGATAAACATGATTCCAGTTTCTCTTTAGATATTTCCTAACAAAGAATGGGTGAGGATGAAATTAGTTTTTGAAATGTTACCTATATATCTGTTTCCGCACTAATTTGAATGTGAGACAAGGGCCATTGTCAGCCATCAAATGTGTATGTATGGATGGGGAATGTTATTGAGTATTCTGAAAGTTGTGTGATAATTTATGAAAAAATAGGTATATGTATCATGACTGAGAAATGTCTATTTAGGGAGGTATCACTTCTGATCATTAGTTCTTTTCTTATCCAATCTGATATTGCCGGCCTTGAAGGAGATGGTAGATGTTTGTTAAAGAAACCCTCTTGAAATCGTTCCATTTTTAATATCCCATAGACCTGTTTCAAATTTATCATTCTGTTTCAAATTTACCATTGAAACAAATGATGGCCACATGCTTCAAGATGAAGCTGATTTTCTGATCTATTTCAATCCAGTTTCAGGCACAGAAACAGACTAGTTACCCTGATGGACAAAGAATATATACTGGGAGTGGTTATCAGGATGTATGGGCTACATGTTATTTATATAATGTTCACATATGTTTCTTCCTATTATCAGAAGTGTCAGAGTCCTACTGTTTGAATCAGATTATATACTGGATCAAATGGAATAGGTGAAAGAAGTCCAGACAAATGAGAGGGTCTAATGATTTGGGTAGAAAAAAAATGTTGGATCTCTTACTTATACTAAACAGGGTCGTACTCCCGACGAAGTTTGATTTGTTTGTCTTTCTGTAGTTTTCTGAGTCAAATTCGTGCTTATGTTAACATATAAATCCCTTAATAATTTGGGTCTATAGTCGAAGTAATGGATTCTCTTCTATGTTATGAAGCTGGAAGTTCTGTAAGAGCTTATTCTAGAATCAATAAGGAGTAAGGCTTTTTTGGTACAAGCATCAGGTTTATGGAAACCTTCATTCTAGAATTCAGATTGTTCCCTCTCTGCTTTGTTTTAAAAAGATTAAAAACTTCATTTTAAAAATGTTAACAAAGTAGCTGTACTGTCCCATATGTTCTACATGTTTTATTACCTCAGATTCATAAAAAACCTGAAGAGCAAAAATTCTAATACCCCCAAAGTTCAGAAAAAAAATTAAGAGATCTTTCAGAGATCTGCCAGTTAATGAGATTACCTTTAATTTTGAAGAACAAACAGAATGCTAGCCACAACAAAGTGGATGAAGGAGGTAATTGATTTCTCAAAGATCCATAGTTTTGAGTAAGCTATTTGTCTAGTTCTTGACACTTCTAATATTTACCCGGTAATCCTATCTGTAGGAGGTGGCGCAAATATCAGTCAGCTAAATGCTGTGTGCTTTTGTAAATACACTTACACAGAAATCTTCATTAGTCTAAGCAAGAGAGAACATACACCGAAAGAGGGGACTTAGAAAGAAGTGAATATCTATATGAGGCAAAAGAAACTGATAAGAACATTCCACGGTTATAAAAACGAAAGTTGTAAATGTGCATGTGAAGTAGAATGCAAAGATGTATAAAAGGTCACCAAACTCTATTCCTATTTTGGAAGTGTGCCCACTCAGTACTGATTATGAAACAGATTCAACAGAAATTCTGGAATTGTTCTTGCCATGGATTCTTCTAGTTACTTTTAAACACTTCATTTGCCATACCACTCTCTTAAGTATAATTTTTCTAGGTTGCATCTAGGTACTGGTACCTGGATGATGAGTTTCCTTGACAAATAATTCAGCTAGAGTTCTACAATACCATTGTTATCTTCCAGCGAGCAAGAAAGTTGTACGTTTCAACTTTTCTTCACCTAACCATTGATTCTAAGCTTACAATATTACATGCTTCTTATGTTAATCCAGCATGGATAATATTCTGGTAGATGCTCAGCAGACGCAGGTGGCAAATCAGGAACTGCTTGTTCATCATGTTTCATTAGATCTTTGCCCTCAGTAGGCTTATTTGTTTCTTGGAACAACGCCCAGTCTTAGTTTTCCAACATAATCTGTCCTCTGGGTCGTGATCTGTCCTCTCTAAGGATATTTCTCCCCCCCCCATTGAATAGATCAGGGGTTCAGCTCATCAACTGCTTCATGAATTTGATCGTTCATTGAACCCGAAGGTTTATTATATGAAAATAAATTAATAAATACTTTATAGTATTTATTAAATTTAATAGTTCTATGAACAATAACAATAGTATGGACAATTCAAGGCCACTGTTTCTGGTGGCTGATCATCCAACCCTGGGTAATGTTGTCATGTGTCTAGCCACTTTATCTTCAGGACTAGGCACTGGCATGGAGCTCTACAGAGACCCCAAAAGATTGACCCCAATCGGCTTTCCATTTATTCATCGCTTACTGACCCACAGCTATTTACTGACCCCTAACTTTTTACCCACTCCTTGGATAGTCCCATTGACTTTGAGGCTCAGTGTTGAGTACTTTGGGGAACCCTGGAATAGAGATCCTTTCCACCATTCCATCTTAAAGTAAATCAGTATCTACAGTGCTAAGGGAGCCATGCTTCTCCTCTCCCCTTAGCTGTTGAAGGAAACCTATCTTGATTCCTCTATTGAAAAGCCCTCAGAGGCTTCATCCTGACCTGAAACTGCTGGGGTCGATAGCAGTTTCCTCATCCTTATTTAAAGATGTGTTTCAAGTAGCACGAAAGCTTTCCTCCTAAGTTGTGCAAGAAAGCAGACTGCATTTGTCAGAGTAGAAGTTGTTTGTAGAAAACTGCATTTGTTGAATCCAGATGGTTTGATGTATTCCAGATGTTTGGCTACTGGTTTCTCAATTCCTTTTGTCTCTAGTCTCACAGAAGTCTGAAACTTTCAGAAAAATATACATTCTATAGTACTTCCTTTAATTCAGATACCTCTTCTGTTATGTTATCCCATCTTATTAATGTATAAACCTTTGAAGTTTTACCAGTTATGTTCAGTTCCTGTTTTTTAAGGCTGCATTTCTGATAGCCATTACTTCTAGAGGCAATAATTTCTGTGCACTGAGCAGTCTTTTCTTAATTTCAACTTTGTATGGGTAAAATACCCCTTCAGATACCACATTTCTCCAAAGTGGTTTCATTTGAATAACCTTTGGTTTGCCATCCTTCTTTCTGAACCCATTCTTAGATATAGATGTGCTTTAGTTTTTCCATGGATTAAACTGAAGCTTTCTGCAAATCCAAAAGGCCTTTTTGTATTATTTTTGTTCAGAATGGCTTACACATTTCTTTTTAACTTTTGTTAGATGACTTGACAGACCATATGACTTTATCTTGCAATGTCTGCAATTTCCAAGAGCTGTCTGGGGCCAGTCTGCAAGAGCTTGGTTTTTTCCACATCAGAGTTTGACACAGAGTTTCTGTATCAATTCTTTGCATGACAGTCATATTGATCTACGTGCATTAAGCATGTAATCTTTTTTTTTCATGATTGGTACTTGCCCCAACTCCTACAGATAGGTTTCCCAGGTAAATGATGAGAAATGTCAAGAAGCAGACAAATAGCTTACTCATAACTATGAATCTTTGAGAAGTCAAGCATACAACCCACCCACCTTTGAAAACTGTACTAAGAGAGTATTTATTAATGGTGATTCATGAAACTGGAGAAAGGCATTAAAATATGGTCTGATGTAAACCCTGGACTCTGGACTCTTCAAAATTTTTGCTAATAATTTGAGTGAGGAAGTAGAAGGAATCCTTATCAAAGCTGGAGATAACTCAAAACTGGGTAAAATAGGATAGCTTATTCTTTTCATTGAATCACAATGGAACACAACCTCCTGTCATATCTCCACTCTACCCATCCAAATCATTTTAATAGGAACCAGGCTGCAGGAATCTTAAGTGCCTCAAATGTTCACTACTGGACTTCACATTATTCACCTAAGAACAAACTTCCCAGTTATCATTTTCTTTCACTATATTAATGGTCAAGAAATGTTCCTGTTCTTGCTGACTTCATAGTTGCTATACTTGTTAGTTTTCCTCTATATGATTATAATTTCCCTTCAGGTTTTTCAAGAATTGGGATTTGGGGGGGAAAAAAATCTATGAAGCAGAAAACTGAGTGGAGTTCCACTGAAAGCAGTAACAATCATTTCTATAGCAGCTTAAACAAAATACAGATCAGTTCATTTTCAAGAAAATATGCTTGAAAAGGTAGCACCACAAAACCACCCCTCCAATTATATCGTAAAATAGGAATTAGGATATTTAAAAGCTGTGTAGGAGTGTATATGATTGAGTGGGTAAACAAGTGACACTGAAATTCATTTTCCTTTGGGAGACATATTCAGTTATATTTATCTTAAATCAAAAGAAAAAAATCACTGGGCCCAAATCTAAGACTAAGTAGCAAATACAGAAATGTAATACCTAAATGAATGATTGGATGATGATTATATCATCCAAAGTGATTGGATGGGATTATATAGCATGAGCACACAGTGCATTGCTGTATTATATAGAAAGCTACTGTGAGTCTTGAAAATATTAGAGTTCAGAACTATTGGAGCAGAGAAGAAAAATTCAAGAAACAGAAGTAGACATACTTCTACAACTTGCAACCATCAGAATCATCTTTTACAAAAGAAAGAGTGCTTAAGAACCTCACAGGGTTTTTGTTTTTTAAGATCAGATGTACTGATGCAGAATTCATAAATTTAAAATGTTTTTAAAAGTTGAAAATTCAAAATAAAGTGAAATTTGATGTTGAGATTCTCCAGATTAAATAGTAGTATGCAGCAAGGTCCTTTTTGAACTGACAATCAACAATCAGTTCATTAAAAGCCTCCAGGTTTCACAACTATCCCACCTCCACCCTCTCCCCCCCCCAAAAAAAAAAAAAATTCTAGGAAATAGTATAACCAAGAAAACTAGCAACAGCAAACTCAAGGAGAATTATACTCTTCTGAATTTGATATTCTCTTAAGAAAAAAATATTGAACCTCATAATCAGGTAGCTTATTCACAGGTTTATTCCAAGTGGTGGCATGTATTTATTGTACAGTTCCTTAGGAACATGGGTAACAAAGGATTTTGAATTAGGGGAGGAAGAACAAAAAGTTAAATATACAAAAGGACAATAACTGATATTTTAAAACACTAACAGAATGATAATTCATATTTCTTCTGTTTGCTCACTGCCAATCTTTAAGTACCTACACTTCCTACTCCCCAGGATTAGACAAAATATTCAGATGATTAAAAGAGACAAAGTGATAAGAGATCTTCTAATTGTATTCCTCTTTTCTGTTTTCTAAGATGTGTAAACATTACCATATTCCCCAAAACATGAATACCTTTTAAGTAAGGGGAACAAGAGTGATAGATTATATTTAGGATGTTTCACAGTGCCAGCATTCAATCATCTTCAGAGTTAATTTTCAAACAACAATCATATTTCACTACATTTGGGAAAAAAGTTTCTTATATTACCCAAATAGTCCTACTTCTCTTTCACACTGTTGATATATCATCATTCCTGGTTCAGTTTAGAGAGCACAGGAAATTTTGACCAGAAATTACACAAAACAAGTCAAATGAAAATTAGGAAGAGACAAAAAATTAAATATTGGACTTAACCATCCAGAAAAACTGAGCACCATCTATTTTAATACGGAGGGCTGAAACAGTCAGGGTTTCACTTTCCACATTCTTGCAGTTGGTATTTCTTGTCACCTTCAAACTGTCTTATTTGTTCTCCAGGTAGCAAAAAAGGTGACATCACATCTATTTGACTTTTTCTTCAATCTTGCAAAGGACCAAAGTAAAGAAAACGCTACAAACAATGAGAAAGACCACTAGGTAATACTCTGATGAAACACTGCCTTCCTGCTGTTCCTTCAATTTAGTTTCTGGGATCAGGTTACACCAGATGATTTTATGGAGTAATCCTTATTATCCTAAGGATTTTTTTTTAATCTGCAGAGAAGCAACAAGACTATCAAATGTGGTTATTAATATTGGTTGTGATGTCCAAATTTTAAAAGTAGCAAAAAAAAAAAAAGACATTTTAAAAACACCACCACCTTTGCCTTCCAGCTGAAAAGGATGAGGGGACAAGGCCATCAGAATTTATCTTGCAGGCTGGGAAAATACCCAAACTCAAAGGTTTTTTTCCACACTTCCAGCAGTGCAACAATGTCTCTCTTTTAGAGGATAATACACTTTCTTTTAGAAGATTTCTTCTTGCGTCCATTGCTGATCTTTTCTTTGTGTTTTCGAATTTCCCGCACCAGGGTATAGAATGCATCTTCCACTCCCTTTAGATGAATAAAAATACAAAAAGTGGAGAAAGATGTAACAAAAGGCTTTATTAGTACTTTTAAAATTATATTAGCTATTTCAGGTGCATTAATTTTTATGAAGTGGGATTTCAAACCCACATTCAGGCAACAAAAATGATCCATACAAAGATCCCAAAGTAAGAATACCTGGGATCTAGCTAACTTTTCTTAGGCTGTTACCTATAGGTAGAATTATTTGGATGGGGGGAAAAAATCATTGTTTGTATGTACTGTAGCCTTGTTTATTCTCCCCACTAATTTATTTAGTAGTGAATAACCTAAGATACAATTTATTATCTATATTCAGAAACCTTTCTCAAATAGGGAATGTGTAGTAGCAGAACAATATGTTGATAAACATCTCTCAGTAAGATGTACATGAAATGAGAAGATTGACATAAATCATTACAAGGGTAATTTTATACGAATTTTATTTCTACCCTCTTAGGTATAACCGCAGGATACTGGCTTATAGTGTGAATCCCACTTCTTCAGTATTAGCACAGCTACTGTAAAGCAAAGCAATTGGCATTTGGCTACTTGGTAATTAACATATAAATAATGAGGCTGTGAAATCAGACTGAAACATAGCAGTTTATCCTACTTGCACAATACCACACCTGTCTGGTTTTGGCCGAAGTCTCTACAAAGGGG